CCCCCCCCCCCCACACACACAACCCCCTAATGTGCGCCCCTGGTTGGGAATATTGCAATTTTTATTGCAAGATTGCTCCAATTAGCAAGTTGCAACCGACATGATCAAATTGCAAGTTGAAATTCACAACCAGATTTGTAAACAAAGTCTCTGATTGGCTACTAGTAGCAAAGAAGAACCAATCCATTTGCTCAGAGTATTTGATTGGTTCTTCTTTGTAGCCAATCAGAGACTTTGTTTACAAATCTGGTTGTGAATTTCAACTTGCAATTTGATCTTGTCGGTTGCAACTTGCTCTGAGCAATATCGCAATCAAAATTGCAATATTCCCAACAATATTGCAATATTCAGGGGAACAGAACATCCAGTTTGACTGTAAATGTCCCCGAAAGCCGAGGGAGGTTTGTGGAACAATAGAATCCCATCCAATCATGGTATTATGTTGTGAATAAGATTTTCCCGACAGGTTTCGATCTTAAAATGTCCCTGTGAACGATTCTGTGGGTTACAACCACTGGTTAGTGATTACAACTGTGAAAGTTGCTCTTCCTTCCCTGGCAACATATAACAATGCAAACTCTGTCCAAATTGCAACAGTCAAAAGAAAAAGAATATTTTATATAATTGCTATAATTGTTCCTCATAATGATAATAATCATAATACTAACCATCAGCAAGAATATTCCATTGCATAATTCTCAACAAACCATTCTTTTGCTGTAAATCCACTTCACAACCTGTATTGCTATTGAGAAAACATCTGTTTATAGTCCTATGTACAGGATTTTCCATCAGTACGTATTTACTTTGATATTTATTTTGCAGAAATTTTATAAACTCTCGTGCTTTGGTTGTTCCAGTAAATTTTAGAAATACTTCTTGTCCAGTGACTCCAGGCAATCTTGTCTGAAAGTGAAATAATAATCGGGCCATTGGAAGGGGGGGGGGGATATTTCCCTTTGTAAATGGCGGCAATTAATAGGAGACTCGTCACCTCTGATAGGAGGAGACAGGAAAGAGTCGGTTTTCACCGGTGGTTTTCACTTTTTTCCATCTACCAAACTGACGTTACGTCATTCGATCAATTTCTGGCATTTCTAAAGTTGTTTCTTTTTGGATTTTTTACAGTATTAACACAGAATAAAGATCAGTACCAGAAGGGCCACTCAGCGGTGCAACGTGTCACCTTTTTTCTATGCAAAAATATGCAGTTGACTGGCCAGAAGGCGGGGCCTTCAGCCAATACAGCGTTGCCAATACAGCGCGTTTAATAATGATATTGGCCAGAAAATGTAATCGACTGGCTAAGAAGATGGCGGCCAGGGGGCCCTTCTGTGTGCCTTATTCTGTGGTATTAATTTAGTTAGGGTTAGGGTTAGGGTTAGGTTCAAATTAGAGGATTTAGAGCCTGAACTTCAGGTTAGGGCTAGGATAAAGGGTTAGAGCATATGTTAGAGTTATGATTGCTGTTAGGGGCAGGGTTTATTTTAACGTGCAGTTCTACACAAAATGTGCAGTTCTAAACCCATTTGTGCAGTTCTTAAAACTCAAATGTGCAGTCACCAAATTAACATATAACCTCAAAACAGTTTTCCATTTACTCGTTTTCCTTGTGGATGCTCCAGATGCCAGGAATGCTGTCATTGAGCATCAAAAATCCAAACGTTTTCTGGGAGAGGACCACCAGACCCTCATATTTTCCTCACAAATCACATACGTGCTGGGGTAATGGAACAGGAGGTAAAATTTGCGTGAGCGAAGCTATCCAAAAGAGATTAGAGTGGGAGAACCTAATATTCTTTGCTGCCTAAGGTTATTATATATTGAGTATTCGTGATTCCCAGTTGCATGTTTTGAAACAGTTTTTGTGGGTGGTTGGGTGAAACAAATCTTTGCCAGAACTTACGGGCCTCTAAATTCAAAATTTGGGGGACACCCCTACCTGTAGCCCCCCCCCCAGAATCGAGTTTGTCTTGCCCCACCCAACCACACCTTTATTCTGCCACCTATATACAAATTAAGAGTCTATCATAATTTACAACGTTAAATATAGATAAAAATCCTTTGACCCCCAGTCAAACACCCTTTGAACCCCCAGACAAACATGTGATGTTTTGTAACATCCTTAATATGTGCAGTTCTAAATTTTTCTTAAAATAAACCCTGGTTAGGGGTTAGAGCTAAGAGTAGGGGAAGGGTTTGGGACTACTTTGGGTTAATAGTTACATAATCATTTCATCTTCTGAAAAGACGTCACGTCAATAGACCTTTCCCCTTTTAAGTGAAATTTTGATCTAGACAAGTCTGGACAACAGTTTCATCACAGCTTGAAAGAGCATCACAAAATTTAATAGTAATATTCCGAAGTTTCGTTGCAAAATGTTGTAAAATGCGGATAATATAGCCTTGCGAAGTTTGCCGTTTTTCAGTCATTTTGCATTACAAACGGGAAATTGATTATCAGGTGATCAAACTGATTATCAATTTCCCATTTGTAATACAAAATGACTGAAAAACGGCAAACTTCGCAAGGCTATATTATCCGCATTTTACAACATTTCGCAACGAAACTTTGGAATATTACTAATTTTGTGATGCTCTTTCAAGCTGTGATGAAATTTTTGTCCAGACTTGTCTAGATCAAAATTTCACTTAAAAGGGGAGAGGTCTATTTGGTAGATGGAAACTAAATGCTGACCGCGCAAGGGCCATTCCATTTAATGTACCCCCCCCCCCACCCCCCCTATGGACAACCTATGGACGAGGTCAATAAAATTTGAACCCCTAAGAAAAAAAGATCAAAGTGCCGACACAAGCATCCCCTCAGAAATTAAGAAATTTTTGCCTTACCCCTCAGAAAAAACGCAAAGATCAAAGGATGCCGATGCACACAACCCCTCGGAAATGGCTTTTTCAAACCCCCTCAGAAATTCTCGTCCATAGGGGGGGGGGGGGTGTACATTAAATGGAATGGCCCCAACACCTCCGGAACAACACTGCTTCTGGTTAGAGACGTCAAATAACATTAATTAACATTTGTTTTCATTTGAATGTATCGCTATTTATAACTGTAAATATCAATCTTGTATGCATGAATGGACCTACTTGAAAGTTCGAACGGCCAAACGTCTATGCGACGTAGCAATTTACTACAAATAAACGGCGTATATCATATTCGATCAAGAGATCGAAGATGTATCAATCTGTGGATGGAAATGACGTGACTTATCGTCAGAGCAAGAAACGAGGTTTTTGTTCTCGACATGCTGTAGCCATTCTTGCTTGTTGGGGTCTCATCTTGCTCATTACTGGCGTTATATGTGCAATTACTAACGTTTTTGAAGATTGGGTGAAAGATGAAATCAGAGATGTAAGGTGCCAATATATCTATAAATATATATTGCTATACTTATATTATTACATCATGCTGTCAAATCTGTTTTTTACAAAATTAAAAATATAAGGGGTCACTTGACGTCCATATTCATATTGCCACGCATAACGTCGAATCGACGTTATGAGTGGGTGGGTGGGTTTATCTTAATTCTCTCGACGTTATATCGATAATCTCGTGGCAAAATGACAATTTTGTGAAAGTTTTGAAGAATGTGACTGCCACGTTCGACGTTATTTAGGGTGGGTTTGAGTGTTAACGTCGATTCGACGTTATGCGTGGCAACATGAATATGGACGTGACCCCTAATAGACGTGTTTTAATACATTTTGTTGGCAGACATGCAAATTCCGATTGTACAAAAGAATAATGTTCAGCAATGTGATTCAGCAATGTATACATTATTACAATGTATACAACATTACAACAATAATGAAGCTCTCCTGTGTGACATATACCCTCTGTATGTCAAGTGTCAACAATACCCAATATTCACATTGTTTCGATATCTTCTATAAAAATGAAACTCTAATCTATATTCATTTAAAAGCATATAGTGAACCAGAACGATGTTAGATATTAGATATTACTAAATACATCATATTTTATCCAGACTGCATGTGTACTGCAAAGTTGGTCAGTGTTGCCCCCAAGATTTTTTTAGGGAAACGTTTTAGTGCCCCTAGGAAGCTATATAAAGTGCTTGATATAAACAATTCAAACTCAAATCTGCCACAAATCTCTAAATTTCATTGTGTTTAATACCTATTTGTTCACTTTAAAGTTTTGTGTCCCTGAATGTCTCTTAATTTAATGTGCCTTTGGAGACTGGTTTGCACCCCTGCCCCCTTTTTTAGCTTTTGCACCCCTGCCCCTAGATTTTTACCTTTTGCACCGGGAATGGGATCTCGTCGAAAACTGCCCAATTCTACAGTCTGGTATTTTATAAACATACTGTATTGTGCTCAAAATGTAAACAAATCGCACATTCGCTGAATTACAGGCTTAATACCATCTTTAAAAAACCGTGCATGCCATAAAATGGGTCTATCTGAACAACATTCTGAAATATGCAATAAAAGATGATTTAAATGCATGCCATATTATCATGATTTTCAGGCACAAAGTCCAGAGACTTGAGAGTAGTCCCAGGAAGAGCATACTGTAAACCTCCGAATATAAGCCTTGGGCTTTATTCATTTGTAAGCATTACATGGCGAGGCTTATATACATAGGGGGGGCTTATATATGGACTAACATTTTATGTTAATAATATTTATTGTACCTGTAAACTATACTGTGAACGAAAAGAAATATAAAGTTAACATAACAGCATATAACACATAAATAAACTAGTTGGTTAAGAATAATTTCCTCGAATCATTGAGAATAATTTCCCATTTCTCATTGTAGTGGCACCTGGATGCCTAAAAGAGCCTGCTAACTATACTAGTTTTGACTTTTGGCAAGTAAAATTGGCTGGTGTTAGGCAGTAAAATAATAAAGTGGGGTGTATTTAGATTATTTAGGAAATATATCCATTTCCCAATATTAATATGACCTTGTCTAGGAATGTCTAGTAGTACAATATTTAATATGACCTTGTCTAGGAATGATAGTATATAGAGGATCGTCTCCAGTCTACTACAGGGTGTATAAAAAAAAACTGAACAGATTTGAAATTGTTCTCAATTTCGAAAAACATGCAGCTATTACTGTATTAGTATCCAGTTTTTGATGTATATAGCTTCCTTGGGTACTTATAATGTAGAATAATGAAAAAAAATTTCCCAAACTCAAATTTTGTGAACCAGGGGGTGTGTCTTTTCAAACAAAATAAAAATGGCTTGCGCACAAAATTTATAAAAGCTTTAGTCATATTTTGAGTTGATAGATGGAAAATATGTTAGGTTTTTAATCACTGTACAAAATTTCAGACAATTTGCTTTAGTGAATAATTAAAGTAATTATTCATTTTTTCCTTAAAAATCAGCCTTTCGCATGCTTAATTAATGCCTAGCTTTACCTAATTTACATATTGCTGACATATGCAAATTAGACAAAGGCATTAATTAAGCATGCAAATAGCTGATTTTTAGGATAAAGGGCTTAGACTAATGCAAATTGTCTGAAATTTTGTACAGTATAATTAAAAACCTAACACATTTTCCATCTAGTAACTCAAAATATGATTATAAAAAGCTTTTAAATTTCGTGCACAAGCCATTTTTAGTTTGTTTGAAAAGACACACCCCCTGGTTCACAAAATTTGAGTTCGGGAAATTTTTTTTATTATTCTACATTATAAGTACCCAAATAAGCTATATACATCAAAAACTGGATACTAATAGCTGTTTTGCGAAATTGAGAGCACATTCATATCTGCTCAGTTTTTTTTATACAGTACCCTGTAGATATATAATTATCTATTCCCCCCAAGTTTTTATTAAGGTTGGGAGAGCCAGTTCATGAAAACTAAGCTTATAACAAATATAAAATACACATGCAATATGAGGATATGGATTGCAGTTAAATGGATCACGGTTCTTTGAGTCCTTTCTTGTTGAAGCTCCATCAGTCTACGGAGAGCAAGGGGTGGTTTTGTGTGTGTTGGATTTGGTCGCTGAGTCCTGGGTTGTAGGGACTCTGTTGAGAGTGGTGGTGTTGGTGTATATGGTAAATGGATTGGGCCAGCTGCCTTGATGGGGTATGTGGTGGAGTTGGGAGGCTTTTATGTTGAGAAATTGTTTGGTATCGGAGGTCGTCTGTGATAGTGTGTGGGAGGGTGGTTGGTGTACTGGGATGAATTTACAGAGGATTTTTTTGTTACAAATGGTCAGTCTTCCAGAGCCATCGACACCTATGACATACAGATCAAACTGGCGGATTTCGGCGACTCGTCCAGTTTTATCCCATTTGGTTGGGTGAGGGCCAATCTGGTTTTGAATTCTTATGTGGTCACCTAAGGCGAGTGGGAGAGAGTCTTTTGGTTATGTTCGGTCCATTGTTAAGCAGATCGCACATGTCTGTTGTGGTGCGCTTCTTCACGAGCAGATAACATGTCTTGCCGTCAGTTTACACCATTTACTGTGTGCAAGTGTTCATGGAATTGGTAATATTCTTGTAGATCATTGGAGAGTTTCAGGGAAGCCTGTGGAAAACAGTTTCTCCATGTTGTTGTCGTTGGCTGTGGTTTTTTTCACGCGATTTCTGGTTATTGCCATGGTGTAGATTGATGCTGCTACTGAGGGAGAGGTTCTTGTTCAAGGTCTGGGGGTGATAATAGAGTGGGGTGTTTTAGAACGTATGCCAGCAAGGAAAAGGTGTCCAAAGGGTATGAAGGGAGGGAGTATTGTGTTGCATGATTCGTTCATGGCAGTAATATCATCTGGGATGGGAAGGGCTTCAGGGTTATGGGGTCCGGTTGGGTGTCGTGACATTGCGTCTGCAGCCTTATGCTTGATACCGGGGATATGGACCATTTGAAAGCGGTAGCGAAGGGTTTTGCGTAACCGTACGTTAGAGCTGTATTCCAGGCATTTATGATAAACAGCGACAATTAATTTCCCACCGCCCAAGACGAAGAAACGAGCTTTGTCTAGTGCGCCAGCAATAGCTAGGGCCTCTCCTTCCATAGGAGCAGATCTGGACGCTGCAGCGTGAGTGAAGCAGCTGCCTTCGAGGGTTATTTTCCAGCCAGTGTGGCAACAGAACAGTTTGGCGGAGGCACAATTGCAATGTTTTTGAAATAACCATATTGTCATATATGGGTACACCATTCTCGATTTCACAGATGTCGAGCCAATCCACTGCCTAGAAGAAGCTGCTTGTAATATCATCACTCCAGAGTAATGTCTCATCGATGCACTTGGTTTTGTTGGGTACATGAGCACCAATTTCGTCAAAACGCCGGGAGAAGTCCTCCCCAGATGCAACGTATCCTTGAGGGGCAGTTCTGTAGCGGTATCTACCCCAAAGTGTGATGAATGTTGTTATATGGCAATCGTCTGGGTGGAGGGGAACGCTGTGGTATCCGTTCCAGCAGTCAAACATGGTTTTCTTTTTATCACTGGGTACAGATCTCGCCTGGTGGAAGGGACTTTGTGTGTGGCGTGTTTCCCAAATGATGTGTTCCCCACGGATTCACCAACAGGAACAGGTTCAACGACGCCCATTTCAACATCACGAGGTAGGCCAGCTTTAACCTCATCCTGCCAGTGGAGGGGGACTGGGATGGGGTTGTGATGTGCCAGGGGAACATCGTCAGGGTTCACCATGAATCGCATTGGTGGGCTCTGCATGAGTGGTAACGACTGGTCTTCGCAGGTATTGAATGTGCTTGAGGCATATTGTGGTAATCCAATAGCCATTGTTGTAGCAGTGGATAGTTGGCTTCAGTGACGAAGAGTATGGCAACTTTTTTGGGCGTTGCGGCGCCATCTGTTGATTTGGGCAGTTGCAAGGTGCAGTATGTATGCTGCATGGTCTGGGTTTGGGTTATCCTGAGATGATTGGGCTGACATATTGGGTGGCAGTAATATCTCTCCAATTGTGGGGAAGTTAGTTGAGACCATTCCCAGCGCCATGCATGCTTCTCGACTTAAGAATAGCTTGTCGGAGTCGTCTGTCACGTAGGTGATCTGTCGAGTTGCCAAAGCATCGCCAGACTTCGATTTACCACACAGATTTTCAAGTTTTTAAGCTTGCCTAACAACTTTATTTGGCATCCAGTGTCGGTTATAGTTGGTATATGTTAACGGATTTACAGCGGGTGGTTGGGGGTGCAAGTTCGAAGATCTTGTAATCTTCGGGGCATAATGTGGCTGTAAGTGAGACAAAAGGTTGTGGTTTGGAAGCTTAACGAACCCAGCAATCGTTAAGGTGGTTGTAAAGGTGGTGGTCCAACGCGATGGGTGTTTTGTCTGTAGCAGCAGTGATATCAGTTGGATGTTGTGCACAGCGAGTCCGAATATCGCGCCTTCTGCATCAGCGGAGGGGTTGGTTGGTGTTACTTTTGGGGGACGCTTTGTTTTTCTTTTTGTTGGCATATCGCACCAAGATGATTTGGGAGACCACATTGTCCGCAGGTTTTCCCTGATTTGATGAATTGTTGGTGGTGTTTCCATGGCATATTGGCCGCAGTAGTGGCATTTGTCACCTTTGTCTGGTTGGCGATTTTTCATTGCTTGTTTGGTCTGACGGCATTGGCTAAGAGCTGCATTTGTTGTCTGGACTTCTAGGAGTCGGCCGGCAGAGCGTTTGCTAGCTTCTTTGGCTTCGATAAATTGGAAGCCGTCTTCCAACGTCATGTTCTGGTCCCAGAAGGTCTAATTCAATGTCGTGGTCGGCTAGGCCGCGGGTCACTACGTTGCGTATGATGTGTTCTGTGTAATCCACATCTTCATTGCATTATTGACATTTCACTGTGAATTTGCAAACACCTGCTTGCCCCCTCCTAGTGCTGAAGCTAAGGATTGGTTCATCCCTGTCCTGTTGTGTAGCTCATTGTGTAGCTCAATGTTACCTGGACCCAATTCGTGCCATAGGTGGGCCTACAGTAGTCCTCGTGCATGCGTGCGTTCGCATATTTAATTGCCTTACATTATTCCCAAATAATGTCGTCCTCGACATAACGATTTTTTCATGTCCGGCTGTTAGTAAGCAAGAGGTATCCACATCGGGAAACTTGGCCAATAGGCACACCAGGGAAAGGACGGTGCTATACTGGATATGTAGAATGGTGGATATATAACATGTGGGTAACAAGATGGATAGTTAGGTAATGGCGTCGGAGGGTGGATTGAATGGTAGACCAGCCTGATGACAGTGTGGATAACCGGGTGTTGAAGGGGGTGGATAACCGGGTATGGAGGGGGTGGATAACCAAGTTGGGAAAACAGGTTTGTGATAAGCTCGATTGGTAACAACAATGTACTCAGGGTTTCCAGGCCCCTCATATGGCAAACGAATCGGTTCCCGCCTCTTTCATTGTGGTCGGTGTCCAGGTTGATCTTGTTCCATGGTTCGGTGGTTGCATCTTGTGCTGAGTCTGGGCTGTCGTGATCCGGTTCTTGTCCTCGATGTGGGTCATGCACTGGCGGTACATCTTGTTCCACTCCGAAGACTTCCCAGTCTGCTTCTTGTCCGTCTCTCGCTCGACCTCGTCTTCCAGTTGTCCTGCATCACCTAACTCTCGCGCGTAGCGTCTCTATCACCATTCGTAATTGGCCCGGTGTATATAATGGACGTTCTTCCTCGTCTGATGCGTCGAGTTGCTGATGTTGTACACGATCCTCTTCCTGAACGCCTGATTTTCATTCACGAGTGGGCTTTTCCATACTTGAAGCACGTCCTGGAACTTTAAAATCATATGGTAGGTGATCACATTGCAAAAATAAATTGCGATGTAACGTCCTATCTCGCCCCTTCCAATTCTCCGGCTTAACATCGTATACTGGACTCTCTAGATCCTTTCGGCGAACCACCACATACACGTCCTGTTCCCAGTGGGAACGTAGCATTCCAGTACCCCCCGTGGAGTAAGGTTATGTACGAGGACCTACCTCCTCATGCAGGCCATACAGCCCGTAATGAGTATGCCCGTTCGCAGGTTAAAATTTGAAATCTGAGACGAAGCTGCTGTTCGTTTCCCACCAATTTTATATTTTTGAAAGGCCTGCGGAGGAGGTAGTACGAGGACCCTATCCCCAGGGTGTAACACTGACGAATGATCCTTTCTTTCGTACAGTTTCTTTCCCTTGTTTGCGTTATTGAAAGCCAACTTGGACGCCAGCTTATATGCTTGTTGCATTGCTTCCATCCAGTTCTCAACATACTTTGGGTAGGTATCAGCCCCTTTCGTTTCTGGCAAATCAAATATCAGGTCAACCGACAAGCGCGGAGAACAGCCGAATAACAAGAAAATGGCGAGTAGCCTGTGGACTCGTGATTTGTTCAGTTGTATGCGTGTACCATCTTGTTCACGTGAACATGCCACTGTCTTTTATGTATTTCAGGAAGAGTGCGCAACATTTGCAATAGTGTACTATTCATTCGTTACACTTTCCCATTACCCTGAGGGTGGTACGGAGTTGTCCGTGAGTGCTTGACACCAGAGAGTTCTTCGAGCTTCATAACTGAACAGTTTGTTTTCAAATTCAGCTCCCATATCATGGTGTATTTTACCTGGGAATCCCAATCGCGGGATGAGGTCGTTATATATTTTCTCTGCTGCCGTTTTGCTGGATTTGTTCCAGTCGAGTTAGCTTGACAAAACCGTGTGAAATGACCGCGACGATTACTAGTATATACTCGTGGCCAGCTGAACTACATACATTCTATAGGTGTACGTAATCGATGGACACCAGTTCGAATGGTATTGTTGTTATGATGGGCTGTAATGACTCTCTGGTGGGACGACTGGCCTTTTTCTGTTTCAAACATTCTGTGATGTATGAAGTGTTCGATATCCTTCCTCATCTGCGGCCAATATATAATCTATCGCGAGCCAATGCGTAAACACGTAAAACACTCCTAAATGGCCCATTTCCTCGCCACGATATATTTTTCTTTTGTAAATAGATGGTAGAACTATTTGTTGGTTCCGATACAGTACCCCGTCTCTTTATTGACGCGAAGCTTTCCCCACTCATATAGGTACCGTTACACTCCTCTTGACTCGTGTTGTCGTTGGCTTCTCATTGACTTGCGTTCAGACGATATTCTAATACCCGGGTTATAATAGGGTCCTTTTATAGATAGATCGGACGCTGGGATTTTCTTTCCAAATGACAAGTGTTCTAATTCAAGATCCAAGACATCAGGGTTTGTGGTTATTGCCGTAATCCATGTAGCATCTCCTCTCTCTCTTGCCAGAATACCTGTAGAAGTAACTGATGCCTGAAATTCTTCGGATGTCACTGTATTATCGTATTCTGTCATATATTTCACAAAGTCTGAAGGTAGTCTTGACAATGTATCTGCATCGATATTGTACATCTCATGCCAGTGGCGTTCAACTTTGCCGTAGTTAACACATAAGTAAGCGGGTTGTTATCGGTATACACGACGAACTTGGCGGCGTAATATAGATAGCCTCTGAACTGCTCTGTCACTGACCATGGGATTCAAGGCCAAGAACTCCAGTTTCCCCGAATGCATGTGATAATTTCGTTCGGCTGGTGTCAGAGTCCTGGAAGCATAGGAGATAACGCGAAGTATACCATCCTGCCTCTGGTATAGCACCGCTCCCAGACCATCTTGTGAAGCGTCTATTTGGACTACAAAAGGTTGGTAATTGTTCTCGATGGTAATTGTCCTGGTTGGCTGGACCCAGGTCTTTTTGTGTTTTTAGGGTTGCTCAGCAGGTCATAGATTGGTTTGTAAATTCGAGAGAAGTTAGGAATTTGGCGTCAGTAAAGCCCCAACTAACCAACAAGTTTGCGTACCTCACCAACCGTTCTGGGTATTGCGTTTTTCAACTGCCACACTACTTCTAAGCTTTCGGATCCATTTGGTATCCCTTTTCGGAAACAATCCTACCGAGGAACAAAAAATGTCTTTCTGGAACAGATGACACTTGTTTGGTTTGAGTTTGACGCCTCGAGATTTCAAACGGCGTAACACTTGTCGGATGTGTTCTGCATGCTCATCAAATGTATTGGAAAAGACAATAAATCATCCAGGTAAGGTATACATATGTCATCGCGCAAACCATCGAGACAGTCTTCCATAAAGCGCTGAAAGTTAACTTGTGCATTCATCAAGCCGAAGGGGATTCTAACCGACTCATAGAGTCCCCACGGCGTGAAGAACGCCATTAACGGTTGACTAGTCGGTTCAACAAAGCCCTGGTGGTATGCCTTCCCTTGATCTAACGTGGAAAACCAGGATTTTCGGCCAAGGTTGTCCAGAGTTTCCTGGTTAAATCGTTTCGTAGGTGTTCATCGCAGCACTCGAGCAGTTGTATAACTGTTTCTTTACTTGCGATTTTGGTGGCGTCAGCATAGTCTTGCCAGCGTGTAACGAAATATGACCATTCCTCACTTGAACCCCCAGTTGACAAGGTTGGACTGTACTTGTATGTGTCCTGTTTGAATGGATAGTCAACATTACGGCAGCCAGGGATTCACTAAGGTTTTCTGTTTCGTATGTACAACCAGGGAAAGGGCATTGGAACTTAGCATCGTTGTTAGATGAACTGAACGAATTACACTTTTGCTTGATGAAAGTTCCTTTTATTGCTTCATGTGTGAAAACAAAATGGCATGCAGTGTAGGTACGCGAAAAGCGGATTAAAATTACCACGAACGCTTTAGTTGTGTATCATAGATAGGAATATATCCATTTCCCAATATTAATACGACCTTGTTTAGGAATGTCTACGATATTATTTAATACGACCTGGCTTATTTTGTCCCTGCCTAATATAACTATATAATAGGTATTTCACAGTCTTTCTTTCAAGAATATCGTTTTTGAAAGATAAGGATATATCTGCACCGAGTGTTTTATGGTGTTCATTAGTGACCACCTCCTCCTCGATGTAGGTGATCTGTTCGTCAATACAAATGGGAAACGCCGAAACGGGGATCTTCTGGGAAACGTGGAGAAAACCTGAATTGCTTACCTAAATATGTTTTTAGTAATGGTAGTTATTTTCTTTATTTTGCTAATGAGACTTTTGGTCTTCTTTTTGGCAAGAATTAAATTAAATCTTTCTTGTAATCTATATACAACCTATATTTTTCTCTCTAGGGTGTTAAATTGAAAGAGGGAAATGAGGTGTATGATAAATGGCTGCATCCTGAAACCCCAGTTTACATGTCGTATTATATGTTTAATGTGACCAATGCAGAAAACGTTAGTAAAGGTGGAAAACCAAACTTACAACAATGTGGACCTTACACGTACAGGTATACTAATTAAATTTAAACTAGAAAATACATGCATGCAGAAACCCTCGCCTTGCTGACAAAACCATTGTATTTTCCGAACATGATGTATCTAAAGTAGTTGTCATGGTAACACGATAATTTTTTAAGAATATTCTTACAAATGAAAAATCGCCTAAAAATATCACTTTTAATTACAAAATTGTCAATTTCCCAACATATATATGTTAGGATTGTTATTATACATAATATAAGCTTCAATTTAAGGTAAAATTCAACCACACAAACGCTTCGCAAAACGTTTTAAAGTGTTCTGTATAAAACTATTAAAACTGCCTTTAATTAAATGGCTTTATCGATAAACTTTCCCTGCTGACAGAGGTCTCTATTTGTCAAATTCTCGCATGCAAATAACTTCGCTTTCTTTTTTATTTAAAAAATTCACTATATTAAAAAAGGGAATCAATATTAAAGATACACTGAAATTATATGCTGTCCTGTTTAGTTGCTTCATATATACGCAAAGGCCTTCGGGTTTTAAAGCAATTATAAAATCAATATTTAAAACAAACTTACCTTCGTTAACGTTGGCTCCCTTCTTTTAGCCGATTCTTTCGCCCTTTGAAATTCTTTCGCCCTTTGAAATTTACAAACTCTTGCAAAAATGCGAGCAAAAATGAAATATATTTGCAAGAAATTTATCAATCATCAAATCAAGAAATGTTTGCTATTTCGCTGTCGTCATGCAGTCGTTTAATGCAAACTTTAAATTGGACCAATCAGTGTCCGCTATTCACGACAGTTCGCGATATATTTGAGATCAGTGAGGATGACCACCCACGGTTGGTCACCCACGCCCGCGATATTTGCTGAACTTTAGACTCCGCTAATGCTTTCGTTTCCCCGGGTGTAAATAGCCGGGGGGAATTAGTACCCTCGCATGGCGCTTCGCGCCGTCGGCTCGGGGCAGGGCGCTTATATAGAGGGCGGTGAAACCACAGGGGGTCCAACTAAGAACTGTGTTCTGAATATGAATAAAACATTAATTAAAAGTAATATGAATAAAACATTATAACATAATATATTTAAATTATTGCACTTACTTGTATAAATCATAAGAGCTTGCCTTTGCACTGAATAGTTTCAAACAGAGCGCTTATACATGCTCAGAATGATTGCTTCGAACGATTGTTGGTCTTTGTTCAAATATGGCGAATAAATTGACAAAACGAAAATATTACATGACGTTCCAACGAAAATAACAGCAGGGATTGCGGGCGCGCGAGCGAAAAGGCGAGGGAAGAAATAAATAAAAGGGATGAAACAAATATCACGTGACTTTTTAAAATGCTTCTAGACTATCCGTTTAAGCTTTTTGTGGTTTTTTTTAAGGCTCAGTCGATGTTCTCTTACATGAACAAGCCTAGTCATTACCAAAAAAGCACTGATCAATCTAATTTATGTGATTTATAACAGCGAGCATTCTTGGCCATTTTCGCGAGATGTGTTCCATAAGTAGCCTGTTCTCGTGACGTATGACGAAATAATAATAAATCTAAATAATGTAAAAAAAAACGTTGGTCGCTACATTTAAATATTTCATATTAGCCGGTATAGCTAAACATTGTTTATTTTCATTAATTAAGCGCTTAGGCGTTGTTGGAGTTGGCAGGAGGCGTTTTGGAATTTTCCGAGAGAACAGGCTACTTATGGAACACATCACACGATCGCATTACCGGTGTTTCATCCCTTCTATTAATATCTATTACCCTCGCCTTCCGCTCGCGCCCGCAATCCCTGCTGTTATTTTCGTTGGAACGTCATGTAATATTTTCGTTTTGTCAATTTATTCACCATATTTGAACAATCTTTCGAAGCAATCATTCTGAGTATATATAAGCGCTCTGTTTGAAACTATTCAGTGCAAAGGCAAGCTCTTATGATTTATACAAGTAAGTGCAATAATTTAAATATATTACGTTATAATGTTTTATTCATATTACGTTTAATTAATGTTTTATTCATATTCATAACACAGCTCTTAGTTGGACCCCCTGTGGTGAAACGCGCTGATGTCGTGCTGATCGATGTGTGATGCGGAAAAGGACTGGCACGAGCGTGCTTTTCGGCAAAAGTTGACAAGGAGCGTGATTTTTCCTGCTGTTGTATTTTTGCTGTTTTTTCATTAACTACGAAATTCTTGAGGATGTTTTTGCACTGTAACGACGAAGTAGTAACTAGTGTATCGTACGAATGCTTGTTTGGCCTGTATAGTTGAATTTTGAAAGAAATTTTGAGGATAATGAGTCGGGCTTTTGATGACTTCAATGAAGGGAAATTTTCAAAACAGCATTTGGGCATGTTATCAAGTCGTCCAAACTTCGAAATTTAGTTGATGGTAAAGATTATAATTATGTGCTTATCTCCAAAAGTTTTCATAAGATTCGGAGTTGAGCAATTGAATACACAGCGTTGGAAAGTGAGGTATTTTTGTGTGTTAAATTTTGCCTAATTAGACCATTATTTCGCTGCAAAAAAATAAACAACAATTGTATTTTGGCCATGTCGTGATTTTTGGTTATTATGTTAATAATTTTGTACGACTTTTAAGGCATTCAATTGAAGTAATTCTGAGCCGTAAACATATTTTACTTCTTGGCCTTTGAATCAAAATACGACTCGCTCGGACGTTTGTCGAGCGCAATAGTCGAAAAAGTTTCGTCCCAACTTTGATTTTTTTTGACTGGCTGGCCAAGACAACTTCTCGTAAGGATTCGTTAAAAAAATACAAATTCAAATTGAGCATTTCTTGATTTTCAACTGAAAAGATCAACTAGTGGCTAAAATTAATTGTGAATTGTATTCTATCGAACGTGAACGATACGTGTACATCCGAAGAGTTTTAAAAACCTTTCACGTCATGCTTCTTGCGAAAGCAACCGTTCGTAAGCTTTCGCAAGCGTTTTGAGCAAAAACTCTAAAATATTGGCAGTATTACCTGAAAATACAATAGCAGAATCTACTAAATTATCGTATAACATCGGAATTTTACCCCCAATATCTATTTCTTCATCAAAACTTGACTACAAAACAGTAAAAACTTCCAGCTCAGTTTTCCCGCCATATTTACCCTTGCCATATAAGACAACGTCGCCATAGTAACCACAACAAACTCGTTACCAGCTCATTGCATCACACATCGATCGGCGCGCCTATAGCCGTTTCACCGCCCTCTATATAAGCGCCCTGGCTCGGGGATAAACTAACTTAATTTGTTTCTACTGCATGGATAGCTCTGCCAGTTGTAAATTACTTCCTAGCGTTACTACATGAGGAAACTGGAGTAGCTAGAGAAACCGGCGGTGTCTGGTAGACCGGCTCGATGAAAGCACTCTTCCAGCATCTGACTATAAGGCAATTCCCCGATTTACCGATCGAATACACGTATGAAAAGTTATGATTCGTACTGTATTGAATGAAAATTTAACCGATTACCTCCATAACAAGAGAAGTGCTTTCCTTTTCAAAACCTTTTCAATCACATGTTGCTATATAAATGCATGTTGGTTGGCTGTCGCTGTTCTTCGGCGCCACGCAGGAAACACGACAACGCGCGTGAATTTTACCTCCAGACACGCGTCTGGAGGTAAAATCTGGTTTCAGGCAAGTCTGGGCATGTTCAGTTAAGGTAGCGTTCCATATATTTTAGTTCAATGCTTAATAATGTTGATTGAGCTAGTCCTGTGAGCTCTGTGTATATCTGGAGTAAGAACTTAGTCATTCAGCTTATAAGAAACGTGAAGCAAGATTGCGGAAATCGACGTCCAAAACTGCGAAGGTCGTAAACATTTTTCATACCATTTTTCCCAGCTAATGACACTTTTTTCTAACGGATCCTATCGCTATTCAAGTTCTCAGTTCATATGCTTACTTATTATTAAACTATGGTTCTTTAAAACACGACATTTTGGCACACTCCTTGCAGTCTTGTGTTCACCACGCAGACAAAAACAATAGGAAGAGACTGGCACTGGACGTCAATTTCCGCCATGTTTTGGCAATTTGGCTTCACTTTTTTAACTCGACTTCTTAGTCCAGGTATACATGGAGCTCACTTGTTTGGTCCGTGCACTTCCAATCACACGCAACCTTTTCCATTATCAGTAGAAATATCGTATAGTTGAAAGAGTTCATATTGCATGTGGTGGGCTAATTTAGAGATGATCAAATACTGATATGAATTCTGATTACAATGTTAGGTGTATGGTTCCTGTTTGATTACTGTACATGGGCCGATCGATTTCCTGCAAGATACAGTATGCTCTTTCTTTAATTGTCGCCTGCTGCACTGCGCCCATCTCACTATAAAAAATCAGCATCACGACCAATATTATTATTATTATTATTATTATTATTTAAGCTTATTTATTCACGGTAGCCTTTCAGAAGCCTGTTTTTCAAAGGGCCGTGCACACTTACTATAAACTATTATAAGAATATTAAAATTATTAACTAAAAAAAAAAAAAACAATCATGCATAATATACTCTATTTACATCGGCAAGGCATAATGCTTTGATATGGTTTGGCAGGATGACCTCCCAATTCAAAAACACAAGCCATCTATTAATTTTTTAAAAGAACAGATGGAAGTTTCAGGTATTTCCGTAATTGGAAGTTTTTCCATTAACATTTGGTTCCATGAAACTGCTCCTCTATAGGAGAAGCTTCGTTTTAAAAAATTCGTCTTAGGTTTTGGTAGGTAAAGCTTTTGATGATTATTTCGTAGTTGGTAGGTTTGGTTAACGGAGACATGAAACATCTGTGTTAAGTATTCTGGAGCCATACCCCTAAGTGCTTTAAATGTCATCACTAATTCTCTCTTTTTTAGTATTGATTGTATTTTTGTCCATTTGAGCATTTGAAAAATTTCAGAAGATCGTTCTTCTAAGCCCGAACTGGTAATGATCCGTGCTGCACGCTTTTGCAATTTCAGCATTTTTTCGGCGTGCATTTTATTACCATCATACCATATAGTTGAACAATAGTTGAAATAGGGGAGTACAAATGACTTATACATCATCTGTAGTGTTGCTTGAGGTACGTAAGGCTTCACTTTTCGTAACATAGCTATAGAACAAGAAATCTTTTTAGTTTGTTTTTCAACATGTTTTGTCCATTGTAATTTATCGTCTATTTCTAAGCCTAAGACCTTTTTCTTGTAAACCCGTTTGATTATATGATCTCTAATTTTAATAATAGGGTCATTTCTGATCTGTTTTAAGCGCTTTCCTGAGCCGATTAGCATATACTCGGTTTTTTCTTCATTTAATGTTAATTTGTTTGCATCTAACCAAGTCTTAACGTTTTGGATTTCCACCCCCAATTTGTATTCAATTTCAAAAGAAGACTCCCCAGTTGCAGTTAAGCTTGTATCATCAGCAAACATGGCGGGTTCAGTTATTTCTAAACTATTTGGCAGATCATTTATATAAATTGTAAACAGAAGTGGCCCAAGGTTAGATCCTTGTGGGATGCCGCATGTAATATTTTGGAAGGTTGATAGCGAGTTATTTACTTTGCAAATTTGTTTCCTGTTACTAAGATATGATTGAAACCATGACAGTGCTAATCCACGAATTCCATAACATCCCAATTTGGATAATAGAATCTTATGGTTTACCGTGTCAAAGGCCTTTTTAAGGTCCAAAAATAGGACACCATTAATCAAACCAGCGTCCATGTTTGCTAACCAGCTATTAGTTACATGTAGTAATGATGTTTCAGTTGAATGATTTACACGAAATCCAGACTGAAATTTGGAAATTATTTGGTGGTGTTCCAAATATTTCATTAATTGTTCATGTACAACTTTCTCAAATACTTTGGGAACTATAGAAATGACAGAAATCGGCCTATAATTACCGCATAGGGTTTTTTCTTCTGATTTGTGGATAGGTGTTACTTTAGCAATTTTCCAGTCATCTGGAAAAATTCCAGTCTTAAGAGATTGGTTAAATATATACGTTAGTGGCACAACGATTGCACCCCCAGCGGCCTGCAATAGTTTCACAGAAATTTTGTCATAGCCCGATGATTTAGCAGTTTTCATTTGCTTAATTTCCTCCCTAACTTTATCATGGGATATAGTTTGAAAATCGAAGTTGTGTGGTGTAGATGTTACGAAAGACAGTGGATCGACATCACTTGCGTCTATATTTTCAGCTAAACGTGTACCTATGCGCGAGAAGAAGCTGTTAAATTCTTCTGCAATATTCTCATCTCCTACTATTTTTCCTTCGTCAACAACCAATTCATTAATTATAGTAGTTTTTTATGCATTGTTTAGCAATTCATTTATCAATTCCAATTCTCTTTGTGGTCCTTGCATGCATTTAGTTTACTTTTATAATAATTGCTTTTGGTTTCCTTGATTGTTTTATTCAAATTGTTCCTACATTGTTTATACTCATTAAAATAATAGATTGAGTTATGCGTGACCGCTTTCTTTTTTAGGAAATCTCTGCGGTGACCAAGGTACTTAATCTCCGTAGTTATCCAAGGGTTATAAGTGCTTATAACTTTCCTTTGTCTTAGAGGTGCATGCTTATTAGCTAAAGATAGAAATATAGTTTTCCATACATTCCAAATCTCATTTGGGTCATCAAGATGATAAACATCATTAGCAGCAAAAGCTTGATTTAAGTCATTTTCAAATGCTCGACTGTTAAAATGTTTAAATTGCCTAGTTTCAACAATTTTTGGTTTTTCCCTTTGGGTACTAGAACAGAACTATCCATATTTATGTACATGGCCCATTGGACCTGCATGAGCACAACCATGCAGGAATTTCCAGGTCCGGTGGAACCCGAGTAAAAACGTTTAAAGCAAACTTGTAGTTTTTGTTAACATCTATCACACATTATAAACTATGGTGAATTAAAACCAAACTTTACATTGATAACATTTCTTTTATCCTTCGTATATAGACAGGTGTACAACAAAACAGTCATAAGTCGAAATAAGTACTCAAGCGGCAGTTTAACGTATTTAAATGGGAAACATCACATTTTTGAAAAAGAACTCTCGTGTAAGAACTGTGATCCAAATCGTGATTCCATTAGAAACGTCAATCTCCCATTTTTGGTAAGTTTCAAGTAGTTGTTTCTTTTAAAATCTAAAGCCGTTTTGGGTGTTACAAGAAAGCTTCGGATTGATAGGGACACAACTACCTGAAAAATACAAGGAGGACGTCCGTTGTGTTTTACAGTATACTTCTTATCATATTAATAATTCATTTATCCATTAATTTATTTATTCACAATCACCATCGCCAATATTTATCAGATTCTTCATGTGTCATTTTGCTTTCCGACTTATTGAATTAATTTCACATTTTCTTTCAGACAACTCTTGAAATTATTATAAAATACATCAAGGTGAAAGATCCAACGAGTCTGTCATTTGCTCTGAGTGTTATGGACGACATATTTGTAAAACTTAATTTACAAGATTTCCACGCACGTACTGTTCATGAGCTGCTATGGGGGTATGAAGATACTGCGTTGAGCAAAGCTTATGGTATCTTGATTGGCTTAGTAAAGTCTCGTGATCCTTCATTCAATATAGAACTTCCAAAAATGTTTGCATTGCAGGTAGGTCTGCCTCACTAGGGAGATACAAACATGCGGGTGCATTGTAAGTACAGTTTCACAAGGCAGGTCAGGTTGCAGTCAGACTGCGGTTAGGCTAAGGTGGTTGATGTTGCCCGAATAGACGCCTGCTACGCACATGCTATGCCTATGGTCGATGTTAATGCTCGATGTTGATTCAAATGTCAACGACATATAGTAGTCACGGAATATATTCTTCCGAAAACTGCTCAGTCTTGACTATAGAGCCTTGTTTTTGTGATTAGAGCCTTTTATCTTTTTACAAATGACTCATTTACGACAACCTGCATATAGTTATATAATTCAGTGAATATAGAAGAGTTTTTATAATTACGTCATCAGTGACAAGATAAAAGTTCCATGCACAGCCACGGCTAAATACTTTCCGGAAGGGTTACAAACACTCGTTTAAATCTTTTGAATAACCTCTTGGAGGTTTTTTGGGATTGCGTTTAAAAGAATAAAACATTTCGAGCAAAGACCTTCGTCAACGAGTCGGCTATACTAATTCTGATACTGTACGAACTTTCTCAAAATACGACAGTATATTTACTATGTGGATGATGATAAAAAACAAATGTGAATAACGTTTGGCATAATAATTAAATTCAAATGAAATTCATCATATGGAATTTTCTTTTATAGGAAAACAAATCATCTGTGTTGTACACGATTGATTCAGGAGATGATGACGTAGACAATGTGGGGAAGTATTTACTGTGGAATAAAAAGACGTATGTATGTAATCATATATTAGTAATAATGATTAAGGTTGTTATAATAAGTGCATGCATGTAGAAAGAGGTGGTACGCATTATTACTTATAATTATTAGATTCCACTGAGCTCAATATTGTGTACAGGTAAGTTAGTGTTGCTAGATGGTACTGTAATAGTGTAGTTCGAGTTTGTTTAACCATGCAGTGGAACTAGCGGACACTCCGCACAACGGACAGTAACTTAATTGAATGGAAAATCCTTATTATTGAGACGAAACAACGGACACCGAACTCAGATTAAACTAACGGATACTTCGAACAAAACTCTTGTACAATGAACAATCTATGAGTATTAAACTTTATTCCAGCACCTCTACGGATTCACACGTGTATATTTACCGTACGTCTGCATGGAAATTTGAAAACATATTCGAAAAGCTATATCAAAATACCTGGCTATCACACCGTATCTTGCATGCTTCTCTGGTACACTTAATGCTGCTACGCAGTGGACAGCTCCAAACAACGGACAGCAAGCCTTGGTTCCAAGTTGTCCGTTATATCGAGCTTCCACTGTAGATGGTATTTACGAATACCTGAGTTTGTAGAAAAATAGAATATAGAAAGTATCAAGATATATTATGTTGCAATGAATGAGTACACACCCCTCAAATCTTTACCTTAAATTTTAACTTAATTACAACTTTTCGTATAGGAATATTTCTTGCTGGAGTGATAAATATGCGAGGATGATAAATGGATCAGGTAAATAAATGATGTACTATCTAAACCCTGTGTTCTTTTGTTCCCATTGAAAGAAACAGCAGTGCAAACAATGCTATCGCATTCCTAATTAATTTTTCGTTTGGTAGATAAATGCCAAATGTGCAAATTGAAATGGTAGATAAATGCCAAATGTACAAAGACTGGATCTGGTATTCCACATAAGTTCATGTACTTACTCCCCATGAGCATCAATCCTCAATGCTTCCATTCAAAAGGCATCTGTTCCTTCCATGTGGAAAAAGCAGATGTCATCCCTATTCCATAAATATTAGTACCTGCTGACATTACTAAAAATTAACGCCCTATTTCACTAACTGCCACCTTGTCTAAAACGTATATGAACGTTTTGTTACCAATTGACTGTAACAGCGCTGTAAGGGTTTTCGTCATCGATTTTTCAAAAGCCTTTGATCGTATAGATCACAACATTGTCATGTATATAAGTTAAAAGAAATGAATATTCCACCAACCATAACTACTGATTGGATATGAACAACAGGCCAAGGGTCCATTATCCCATTCTCGTGAATATTTGTGTTCTAGGTGGTGTACATTACAAACCATTCTTGTCAAAAGATGATATCATATATGCACTAGTCACAACTGTTTACAGGTAACTAAACGTAAAGAACTAATGGTTATAGTCGTTATAGTATGGAAATATTTTGTATCAGTTCATTCGGTCCTTTATTACTTGTGTGTTTCTTGGTTGGGCGGTGGTATATCGCCTTTAAAAATGTTACATCCAAGTTGCCCAGTTCGTCAACAGCCTTGCGGTTTTAAGATGTTGGGAAGTTGATAACAGGCGATCAAACCGCGCTTCCATTCCCACGTCTTAGTGTGATGTTATTTGGAATTGCTTTTAATTTAATTGATACCATTTTTTTCTTTTCAAATAACTACAGATCGTTCAGATTAATATACGACTCGATAGTGCATTACAGAGGAATACGTCTATATCGGTTTGCTTTAGACCCAGAACTGTTCATATCTGGTGATATCAATGGAAATAACAAGGGATTCTGTGTTACGGGAAAAGAAAAGAAATGCTTACCATCTGGTATAATGGATCTCAGTCACTGTGATCCCACACGTACGTATATATATACGTTACACAGCATACGATATTGTATATATTATGCATGTGTAGTAGATAAGAAACTGACCTGTATATAGAACCAGGAATGGGACATACCGCCTGCAAAGCATGACTTGTTCAAAATGCCTTGCTGTTCTATTTGCTTTATATACTGTAAGTATATTGTGAAGTATATCCATTATTGAATTTTAAAATGGTATATACGCACGTTGGTTCTCTGCCCAGGGATTCGATTCCAGCAATATGCAGTTCTAGCTTCCTCCACAGGCAATTATGTGGGTTTCCAAACGGCTAAATTTCGTTAAATTGTTTAGGTACCACAGAATAGGCAATTCCAGCTATACAGTAGACTAAATTTTGATGTAGGCAAGAAGAACAAAATCCATCACCACAGCTAGAAAGAGCATGTTAAAATTAGTAAAATTACCAAGTTTGGCCGCAAAATGTTATAAAATGCGGAAAATATAGCCCTGCGAAATTTGCAAATTTTGTATTAATTTTAACGTACATTAAAATTTAGTCTAGAGCTGGAATCATCCATTACCTGCGAACTAGGAGTCTATTGCAGTTCTGTGATTATAATTTCTACTTCCGACGAAGGTGCTTTTCCCAAATAAACATTTGAAAGCTTTTGCAGGATTTCAACGTTTGAAAGGCCTTTGTTGGAAGGCGACGATGATCGGGATCCGTTTCCCGACATGTATATATACAGAGTGTATCAGAATGAATTAAAGTAGACAATTTTCAAATGACCTTGAAACTGAAAATTAGGAAATGTTGGCAAAACTATTTCCCTTGAATAAATATCCTTGTTAAAAGTTTTCTGATTTCATGTTCTCTAAAGTGACAGTTTTAATACTCCAATAGGCATTTATGCGCGCAGGGGGTGATGGGAAGTAAGGTATCATATTGCTGATTATACTGAAAAATTTCAATAAAAACTGCTGAAACAACCGAAATATTTCAATATTTACAAGTATAAGTTATCACTCCGTGTTAACACGGCCACCATTTTTATTTTTTCAGCATAATCAGCAATATGATACCTTACTTCCCATCACCCCCTGCACGCATAAACTAAAAGCTGGAATTGCCAATAAGTTGTCCATAAATATTCCTGATTCTGACTATAAAACCTCCTACCCTACATTTTAGCTTATAATGTTTCAAGAAGTTGTGAAACTTTAACCACGTAAGTTGATAGTGTGTATTATTTAATGACAACTGGTAATTCATCATTTTTATCATGCAGATGCCCCAGTTGTGGGATCTCCGCCACATTTTTACTTGGGAAATAAAAGTTTAGCGAATGCTGTAAATGGTTTAAATCCAAATAAAGTCCTTCATGGCACATTCTTGGATATTGAACCGGTAAGTGACACGTATAGAACAAATTGCAATCTTCAAATGCCATAATTTTATAATTTTGATTGATATATGTTAAATCATAAAATTAGGAGGATATTTTTTATATGTGATATACTTAACACATTTATTTTTGACATATTGCAGTGCAATGCATCTTGTTATTGCAAACGCAGTGTCATCTTGTCATTGCAAACGCAGTACCATGTTGTCACTGCAAACACTGCAAAATAATGCGATTAGGATGAAGAGAGATTTTAAATGGCACACCGAGGAGAAAATGATGTTATTGGCGCTAATTTGAAAGCATCGTTGCATGATAATTATTTTGTGTTTCTCAACCGGCATCAGGGCCGCCGAAAGGTTGCGCGGGCGGAGGCCCAGGACAAAACTTTCCTAGGGGGGTCCCAGTTGGTCCTTTGAGCCGGATGTTACCTATACAACGGGTCAAGTTTCTCGCCCCCGCGTTTTCTACCAAACCAAACAAGGTTTACCCTATTGATTAATAATCTAGTTATACTGAAATTGTACAAGACGCAAACCCTGAAAGGGATAAGCCTGTTATCTTTGACTAGTGGCATTTACCATTTGGCCGTGTTATTTAAATTCTTCTTTTTCGCTAGGTCGAAAATACCTGTATATATTCTCAAAAGCGTTAATTATTTCATTTGTTCATATCTAGAATACTGGTATAACAATGCAAGGAAACAGGAAGATGCAGATTAATGCCAATTTACGTAACATTAAAGGCATCACGTAAGCTTGCTGTCTTCTAAATGCTGTCTTCTAAACATTGATATTACAAAATTAGCGTTAACTGCAGGGGCCGGTTGTATAAAAACTTATAGCGCTAACTACGTTTTTATACAACTGGCTCCAGGAGTGCATGGTTATTAAAAGAACGAAATGAGTGATTTATTTGGTTAAGCTTATAGATAAAAACCGCTCTGAGATCAGTAAACCTATTTAATGCGGTGCAATAATACAAGGTTTACTGATCTCGGAGCAGATTGTTTATGCATGAATGAAAGATAAATCCATGGAGACATTGGTAGCCCAGTATTGCTTTGATGTCCTAACAAATTTTGATCAATTAGTATAATTCTAATTTTTAATCTATATAATCTCTCTGCAAATTTGAATTGTTTTGTATTCTATGTACCAATATTGGTAGCTCTGTTTGAATAAAGTTTGTTTATTTGAATAATTACCATTTGCAATAATTACCCCATGGAGGGGGGATGGAAAAAGTAAATGAACAATGATGGAAATGAACCCAAAGTTTGAAATCTTCCATAATCTCTCCTGGAAAATGCAGAAAATAGCATAAGTAAACTATTGACAGCTTAGCCATGCCACAAATCAGAGATGATTTAAAACCCGAATATTTTTCTTTAAATCACTTACAGTTGGTAAGAAAGTTACCCTACCAAAATTGGGACTGGGAAAAAATAATTCTTCTGGTAATTATATATACCTCTGTAATTGAAAATTTTTCTAAAAGTTTTTTTCCCCAAATATCTTTCAGAGCCTTCCAAGACACAACCACAGTGTATTTACCTATTTTTTGGGGTAACAAAGTGAGCAAAAATTCTTATTTATATATATATATATATATATATATATATATATATATATATATATATATATATATATATATATATATATATATATATATATATATAAACGTTTCTTCTGGCAGCAGAGTTTGTCAATCAAAACTATTTGTTTGGCGGGTACAGGGCGTAGCGAGGGGGGTATTAGACAGATTTAGATCGAGGACGCGGACGTCAAAGACGACGTGAAAATAGCGTCAAAATGGCGTGGCATATCATGCATACATGGGCACAACACGCCATTTTCACGTCGTCTTTGACGTCCGCGTCCTCGATCTAAATCTGTCTATTGGGGTGGGGGGTGGTTAACCCTCCCCCCAACTTTTTTAGAATTAACATATTCGGAAAATCAGGTTGGCCATTCGGAAAATTACGGCAATAATAGTATAACAAAATTATAGTTGTTAAACAGAGAAAATATAATATAATTGTATTGTCAGCACAAACTGATATACGAAATCATGGCATTTATGGATAACATTTAACAAATTCTAAATCGGTAAGTCTTTTTCGGTTTATTACTTCTCAGGGCCGTAGCAACCGGGCTGGGGGGAGGGAATTTTCTAATAATCATTCTTTTTTCAAAATCATGCAGACCTTTATCATTTAAATAATATAAAGAGTTTAAAATACTGACAATTGATTAATTTTAAGCGGCTACATTATCCATGACAAACTGCAAAGAATCATATTACCCATACTTTCCTGCAACTTCTCCAATATACAGGGTGTATCAAAAAAAGCGCAATCCTCGACTGAAATGTAAATTGCTAAACAAATAATACACGAAAACGTTAAAGTTTACATTCATTTTAAAGCGTAGCCATTCAGCTTTCTAACAGTGGGTTGTTTCTTAAATTTGACCCATTGGTTCTCGGGTAATAATACTTTACGTTATTGCGATTGGAGATTAAAAAAATTGAGATAGAATTAACAAATCGTTCTCATCAAAATAACTGTTTTTTTCATTAAAACAAAAAAATGTTGCATTTTATTAAATGGATTGTAACAATAAGTATAATTACGGCTTTTCTTCCACTATTTTTAACTCAGTTTGAAACTTCAAATGCGATATAATTTTGGCTTGGACCATCCAAGCCGACTGACATCAACTTGCTATAATTTCTGTTTACATTACATCGCAATTCGATGACACTCTGGCTCAGACACCAGAATGTTTTGACGATTTTTAGCATTCGTTTAGGATTTTCAAACAACCTGGTCTCTTTTAAAATACTTTTACGTTTGTTCTTACGTGGTTTTCCAGATGTAATGACGACAACATTAAAGTTTAAAGAAGAAAATTCTAACATTTAAACCGACTAAACAATAACATAGTAAACCTGCATAATTAAACAGCAACTAAAAATGATAGGTTTTACTAAATCTTTTCCTGTGCAATTATTACTAGCATTGGAGACAAGGATAATAGTTTATTTGAACGAGAAAAGAACAGGCTTTGAAGTAAGCCTAAAAGCGTTTAACTAGAGATAGTATTTCGAAAGTTATTAAGCACAAAAGATGAATTGCGTTTATTTTGATACACCCTGTATAGTTAATTAAATACGCCTTTGCCCATTTAGTACTACTAAATTGTAAGCAAATTGTAAATTTATACTAAAACGCTGTTTTCTGACCATCAGAATTCTGTCAAAACTTTCCCAAAGTCCAGGAAATGGCATTTCAGTAACTCTAAATTTATAAATTTCCTCGGGTCATTGGCCCTCGTTTTCAGCCCCCCAATCTAAAAGAGCTTTCTACGGCGCTGCATGCTACTTTAATATGTCTGTGCGTAAAATAAGCGTATTTTTGTTTGTAAATCGCGTCTTTATTTTCTGGATAGCAAACACCTTCGTGGCTTCGTATGCCATGAAATATTCGGAATTTTTTTACGTCATTCGGAAATTTTTGGCCTACACCTCAACTATACATGCCAACTACGGCCCTGGGCGGGTAATAACTTTTGTAGGCGTGGCGTCAAACAAATTGTTTTGAACACGAAACTTTACTGTTTTAGCTTCAAAATCAAAAAGAAATGGAGGCTGTAAATAAGTTTGGAAGGTGCTACAAACCTGGCATTTCTCTTTCTGATTTACTTTTACCGTTGCCATTTTGTCATTACCATGCATGCAATAATATTATTATTATAAGTCTTTATTATAAAATTAGAATCACAATTAACATACATGTGTCTTTACAATATTACAGATAAAATTACAGCAATCATGTACTAACTACGAACTAATGAATTATTATAGCTAACAATAACTTTATAATGAATGAAGGTATAGATAAAAATTAAAGCATTACGGTTAATATTATGCAATTTACATTTGTGGATCATTCTTAAAAATAATTAAACAGACATCTATTAAAAAGGACGGTTTGAAACGTTCAGTTTTAACTTTTGGGAGAGTAAACGGATGCCCTCGTTCTCTTAAAACCCTATGTCTCTTTTCCGGAAGTAAATCATATAAAGCGTAATCAGGATCATTCATAATTTTATGAAATAATGTTTTGTCCCGCTCTTCTATCAGGACAGACATTTTATATTCCTTTGAAACGTATCCATATCGGTGGGCTAGTCTGAAGAATTTATCAATGCGCTCCAAATATTTCTTTTGCAAGCCCGAACCCCAAACTTCAATTCCATAATAGAATAATGATATAATCAGCGCTTATATCGAGATGATCGCGATATAATCAAGATGATCCTTGGAATAGCCATACGACTTGCATACTCGTAACTAATATACATACGGCTTCCAACTTTCGATAACAAGTTTTCATGATTCGAACAGAGTCAACCGATGTTTGTTTTCTAGCCATTTAAGTCAGTGGTATTGACACTTTATTGGGGAGTTGTTGTATTTGTACCCCCTTCATACGGGAACTGATCATTTCCTATGATAGTCTTCGTATGTGACGATATCCTTAGTGTGAAAACAGTAAAATTTAAGTTTCGTGTTCTAAACAATTTGTTTGACGCCACTCCTACAAAAGTTATTACCCGCCAAACAAATACATTGACAAACTCTTCTGGAAGAAACGTTTTAAAACCTAGTTATAAATGCACGCTTCATGGAAGCTCGAAAATGGTAGTAACGATATATGAAGGCATTAAATTTCTGTTTTAGCACGGTCGTATTTCTGAAGAAGATGCTGATGATTTTAAACGTGATGTTCGCCTACCACTAAGGTTATCTCGAGCTGCACCATTTGTGTTGTTTGGACTTGGCGCTATTCTAATATTGATTGCTGGGGTAATTTCTTACCGTCGACACCACAGGAGGGTAAGTGAATCATGCTCAATAACTTATTCTCTTAGCTGCTATATTCATATCAGGCGTCTAGCTCGAAAATCTTTCCCTTGCATGAAAAGAAGATTAGAGTTAACTGGCTTTGGGATATGATTTAGACCAAATCTACTAAATTTTGCATGTGCTTTATTTTACGTATATCTTGAAGCCGCAATATAAAGACGTGAAAAAGCCCCGACTCAGCCTAGTTTGCCAGGTCTGGTAAACATTTATACTGTGGACCAGTCGGACTACCTAGGTCTAATTCATCAATCCGTAGTGTATAGCCGCCTCGTGGTTTTTTCCGTCTCGGCAATGAGAATAAAACTACAATTTCTTTGGTGGACACAAGGAGTAGGATTAAGGATTATTAGGTTGAAGAATAAGGATTAGGATTAAGGATTAGGGACTTTTTAGAGTTAAGATTAAGAATCCTATAGTTCATGTTAGCATTACTACATTTTTATTGTGAATAAAGTTTCCATCATAAAGAAGTGCTTTCTCAAAAGCCACGGATGTTAAATGTGTCAATCCCCACAGGAATTCATCAACGAGCTGTATTCTATAGCTTTTAAGCGTTTATCATGTACGTACGTATATACCCACAGAAAGGTATATAAATCGTTCTCAATTTTAAACTTATTAAAACATTAAATCGCACACAAAAATAGATGCTGTCCTTTTATTCAGCTATATAAGATGACATTTAAATTTAAATGGAATTAAATTTTTTTGTGTGTAAATATACGTACCACTAACCCGATACACAAGCATGCAAAACGCTTAACTGGAACGCAGCTCTTTATCAACCATATGAAGTACAAATGTGTCGTCGTACTACAATCTACATGGAACCTTGCTACAAATGTTTTGCGTTCTATGGCATTATTTTATCTTTGTAATTTTTAGCCGGTTGGAACAAGCGAAGAAAAGGTTCCTTTGGTCCTAAGTTCACACAATAATTAGTCAGGTACTGCACCTCTATTTTTTTATGTACATTGAAAAGAAGGACATGAAAGTATTTTTTAAAGATGGAGTGAGGTAGCCCGTTTCTGACGGCATATTTTTCATGTGCCGAATTTAATTGGCGAATTAGGTTTGACAGAAAAATATGTTTATATTTATTAATAAATTATTTATGGCATTTCTCTCGAATGAGGAATTTCTTCCGGAAAACCTTGCCTGACAGATTGATCCCCGAGCCGACGGCGCGAAGTGCCGTGCGAGGGTACTAATCCCCCCCGGCTATTTACACCCGGGGAAACAATATGGCGGACTGTCATGAATAGCGGACACTGATTGGTCTAATTTAAAGTTTGCATTATAACGACTGCATGACGACAGCGAAACATTTCTTGATTTGATGATTGATAAATTTCTTGCAAATATATTTCATTTTTGCTCACATTTTTGCAAGATTTTGTAAATTTCAAAAGCTTTCTCAGAAAGAAAGGGCGAAAGAATCGTCTAAAAGAAGGGAGCCGACGTTAACGAAGGTAAGTTTGTTTTAAATATTGATTTTATAATTGCTTTAATTAAAACCCGACGGCCTTTGCGTATATCATAGGCAGCCCAGCAAAATGTGTAAAAATGCATTAAACGCTTAAAAATACGTATATACTGAAGTTCGTCTCAATTTGCTATCAAGCGATTTATTTGTGTAGCTCATACATGCAGATTCCGATGTTTCATATAGTATATATGAAAATATACTATATGAAAATACAATGACGTAAACATCGGAATCTGCATGTATAATGAGCTACACTTTGTTGGGCCACAGAGAAGAGATATACAGAGAGGAAACACGCGGCAAATTGTGTCACGCCGATATATATTCAGTCTAATTACTATATAAAATTATATTAATTCACTATTTTATTAAATTTTGACAATGCAGAGGAAAAAACTATACATATTATAGAAGTAAACATGTTTTTTTTTATGCGAGAGTTATATTTTGTGGAATTTATATCATTTGCTGCTTTGTTTTTTTATATATGAGCATCTGAAACTCCCAGCCAGTGCTTTTCACGATTTTAATAAGGAGTAGATAGGGAAAAAACAAACTTTTGCAAAATAAAATGTTATGTTAACACTTTTAATAAAACGAAATCAATAAAAGTGATTGCTTACCGTTATTCTACAATACTTTATTGAACAAAACTTCCATGGGTTTCTCATTTTTTTAAAAAAAAGCGATTTTCACCTTCCGAACGGCGTTTTCCCTATCTTTTGCTATGAATTTTCAGCGACGGCACTGGCTGGAAGATTTCGCGTGGAACGCGTGACACAAAAATTCAAGTTATCGAGGTGTCTGTTTCCTCTCTGTATATTTCTTCTCTGTGGCTGGGCTGCCTATGCGTATATGAAACAACTAAATAAGACAGCATATAATTCCAGTGTATCTTTAATTATGATTCCCTTTTTTATTATATTGAATTTTTTAAATAAAAAAGAAAGCAAAGTTATTTGCATGCTAGAATTTGAAATCATTTTATTGCAAACTCAAAGTTTATCGATAAAGCCATTTAATTAAGGGAAGCCTCACATATCGATTTTGTCCATGAGAAACGTCATATGTTCGTTTCTCTGGAGACCCCACCCCCCTTAGAAACGTCACACATAGTTATCGATATTTTGTTCAATATAGTACACATATGCCAGATATGGCAAGGTAATTTTCTACGGTCGGCTATTGGCGATGCTTCCGCGAGAAATATGTCATCTTCTGCTGACATATCTTTTTTTATTAATATATATGAACTTCAAATTTTCCAACGTTTCTCAAAACAACTTTTTTTGCATGAAATATTGATCATTTTAGCGCGTTTTTCTTGAAATTTGAGTGTTCTCAATGCAAGGAATGCGTATAATAATATAAATGTATACATAAAGAACAGGTATGGTATTACGAATGTATAGACTAGTGTTTGTATCAAGTTGCCATTTCAGTCTTTTTTATACTCTGCAAAGATGATTCCGAAATGTTAAGGCTTTCGAAAAAACTATCGAATTTTCCCATGATGTTTACAGAGAAACGTCACAGTTAACCCCATCACCACCACCCCCAAACAAACATATGACGTTTCTCGTGGAAAAAATCGATATGTGAGGCTTTTTAGTTTTATAAAGAATACTTTAAAACGTTTTGCGAAGCGTTTGTGGTTGAATTTTACCTTAAATTGAAGCTTATATTACGTATAATAACATACCTAACATATAAATGTTGGGAAATTGATAATTTTGTAATTAAAAGTGATATTTTAGGCAATTTTTCATTTGTAAGAATATTCTTAAAAAATTATCGTGTTACCATGACAACTACTGTCTTTAGATACTTCATGTTCGGAAAATGCAATGGTTTTGTCAGCAAGGCGATGGTTTCTGCATGCATGTATTTTCTAGTTATACATGAAGTTTACGGTTGCCGTTAAACACAAAACAATAGACTACATATTTCATATATTCAGGAGAATGCCTCGTATTTTTAAAAGCCGACTGGTGCGCATGCGTAGGTAAGGATTATTAAACATTTAAACTATTGACTGCTATCATAATCGAGATAATAAGGGCTGGCTAATTACATTTATTGTTTATGTAAAGAAAAAAGTATATTGTCCTGGTTACCCAGCCCTCAAAAAATGTGAAGCAAATTATGCATGGTATATATACCATAGCCATCCGAACGTTAGAGCGAAAATTCCCTTCCCCAACTGATTACCGACTGGTAAGAAGAAATGTGTTGTTTATCGCATACCATGCATGCTGTCAATGCTCATGCACGAGTTATACTTGGTAAGGTCGGAAGAAGTTATTAGTACAAGGAGGAAAGAACATAAGAGAAATGTAGAAAATCAGAAAGTCTCCAACATGGATAAACATGCATAGGTACACAATCACACGAATCGAACTAAACAAAAATTATAACAAAGTAGCATTTGGAGCCGGAATTTTTTATTGAGGCTAGGCATGGCACATAGCAAACATATAGAAGAAGCCAAGAACAGTACACAACATTTTCCTGTACAATATACTATTATTTTACATAAAGATTAAAAATCCATTGTCCAGTCATTATAATATAGACAGTAGTCTATAGCTTGATAATCCTTACCTATGCATTAGTTAGTTAGATTACGTCACTGTTCATACCTGTTGTATATATATATATATATATATATATATATATATATATATATATATATATATATATATATATATATATATATATATATATATATATATATATATATATATATATACATCGATGTATTTTTTCCAAAATTTTTATTCTCTTTTATATAGGAACCGTATGAATCAATGACCTGTAGTTGTTCTTTTGAAAATGCTCCGTTGTCATGTTAATGAGGAAAGTATGAAGGGCATGTTACATGCACCAGGCAATTTTTGCTGCAACTTGCAATGTAATTTCTGACATATAGAGCCATGCTAAATAAAAGGTAATCGTAGGAAATTGCGAGCATATTCTAAGGTTTACTCTGTCGGTATTTTTCGTCCTATTTCTTCCATTTCTCATCCCTTAAGAGGCCATGCTCACAGTTTCCTTGTGACTACGTAGATAACATGTCTCTGTATCCGAATTGCGTTGCAAGTTCTATCCAAAATTGCCTTGTGTAACATGGCATTTAGTGGACATGGACTAATTCTCACTTTTCTAGTATTTTTTCATTCTCATTCATTTATTTCACGTGTCTGTGGTATATTACGTGAATACGTTTTACACAACATGAATCTATGCCGCGGAAATTCCGTTACAAGTCGCACAAAAAATGGCCTCGTGGGTCTTGAACCCTTAATTAACTATTTATCACTTATTTACTGAGACCGAGGGAAACAGTGTGTTTTGTGGACCCGAGACCGCGGGCCACAAAACACACTTCTTTCCCGAGGTCTCAGTAAATAAGTGTTTTGTTATATAGTATATGTGTCATATAAGTATATAATAATAATATAAGTATGAACAGGGCCGCCCAGAGGGGGGGGGGGGAGGGGGGCAAATTGCCCCGGGCCCCCAGGTTCTGGGGGGCCCTAGAAATTTTTTGTAGGGCCCCAGTCATTTTTTTGGGTGAAATATTTCCGCGCAAAGGGCAAGATATTTGGGGTTTTTTTTTGGCAAAGTACCAAAATTTACTATGAAAAATTGAGGTAAAAAACTTCACCCATTCTATAATCACGACGTTTTGCTGACCGGCACGTGATACGCTTTTATCCGATCAGGAAACAGAAAAATTGAACTTTGACACTAACTATATAACAATATTATTTATTCACAGCCAGGACACTTTATTAATAATAATAATAATAATAATAATAATAATAATAATAATAATAATAATAAGTTTTTATTTAAACACGATATTAAGTACAGCGTAGCTGAAGTGTACTGTATATTTAATAATTGTCTAATGATATTGTAAGAATTTTTTGTCATGTTTCATACTAGTTTGAATTCATGTAGAAAGAAACGTCACAAAAGGCCATGTTACACGGTGCAATTTTTCTTGCAAATTGCAATGCAATTGTACTTTTGAGAGATGTAAAATTGCCAAATACGAGTCTTCATTACACTCCGCCACACTCCGCTGATGTTTTCTCAACATATCGAAAATTCTTCACTGATTTCACTAATTAACATCTCTCAAGAGTAGAATTGCATTGCATTTGCAAGAAAAATTGCACCGTGTAACATGGCCTTAATCAACAATATAAATCTAACGCATTCTCGAGTTGATATGCTCGGGCTGATAAAGGCTAGCTTGATCTCTATATGGTCTTATATATTACATCTATTTACTATTATATAGAGTATAGACGCGACGCAAAATAATGCGAAGACTGCGGTTAAAACTTACCAATAGTTATTAATAATTCATGAATAAAATTGAATAGAAATTAATTCAAATAAATTGATGCAAAATGTCCTTGAACTTCAAGTTTGATCATCACAGTGAAAGCAAACTCATTATAATATTAATAATATAAATGCAAATCACTTCTCATTGGCTAGGCAGCAGTGAAATTTTATAATTCAGTTTTATAAAAATAGAGTAGAGCCTTGAAAACGAAACACAAAACCTTATTAAATACAATGAGCACTCATGAATGAGCACTCGGACTGACATCTTGTGATTTTTCATGTATTATTAATAAGTAATACCAGGCTTTCTCGTGCCGGCAATTTGGAAAACAGTGACTCGTGAGTTTTTCAAAGACTTCAATTGTACTCGTCCTTTTGGACTCGATAGTCTTTTAAGAAACTAACTCATTTATTTTACTACCAAGTTTAAAATCATATTTTGCCAAGTATGAATACATTATATACTTTGTCTGCTCCCGAGGGAAATAGTTTTCCCGAGAGTCTTGATGTTTTCCGAGACGAAGTCAAGGGAAACATTGAGATACGATGGGAAACAAAACTAACTATATTTCCCAGGGGAACAGACATAAATGTTTTGTTACACAGCAATCAAAGAAAAATCAACAACCTGTTCATACAATAATAAATTTCATGCATGACAAAAACTCGATAGTGTAAATGAGTTTAAAATTAAAACAACCTAGGCTGCGGTTTCATGCATCCTGCCGTTCTGTTCTCTTTTACATTCTTTATTTTAACACAAACTTGGAAATTCGTAGTTTATAAACTTGCGAGTTGTGCCGCCATTTTGTTTTTTTATGTACGTAGCCGGTCGGGGCGGGCTGCAATTTTTTACTTGTTGCGTACATTGCATTCGTCTAAAGCCACGTGAGTAGTAAAACCCCCATCTGGCGGAATTTATAATGAGCTTGCAAAATTTATGACGTCTCTTTGTTCAGCTAACACTCTGGCGGAATTTATAATGAGCTTGCAAAACCTATGGCGTCACTTTGTTCAGCTAACACTCTGGCGGATTTTATAATGAGCTTGCAAAATCTATGAGGTCACTTTGCTTGGGCAAGTGTGGGCCAAATGTGACAGGTAGCGCGACCAAGCGTTTTTCTCTTGCCCACCTAGCTACATGTATTCCGTGAAGGCGACGGGTGAACGATTTAGAAGTTTTGAGGCTGATCATAACATTGCTTATCAAGAATTCTTGGAGAAAAAAAACTTGTAGAACAATTTAACAAACATTTGTAGTATTTTTTGGCTTAAAATAATAAATGTATTCTCACATGCAAGATACTGTGTTATGTATTGCTATGTCATTCAAGCGATAAGTAGACAAAGGTTGAGGTAATTTTAAGGGATTTTTAAAGCAATACGAATTTGCATTAATCAATAGGATCTTAATGGATATAAATGGATATTATTACTGGCGGCCGTGGGCAGGTTCAGGCGAACAGTCGATATTTATAGATTTATCACGCGGGCGTATGACTTTGCGGGCATAAAAATGCACAAGAATTTAGATTAAAAACACATTTATTTCTTCAAAACGTTTTACAAAGTTATGCTTCTAATATATATCGTCACTCCTAAGATATTGATATCCTAAGTAGGCACAGCCAGATTGTGCTCGGCAACTTTTTAGCAACTTTTTGGCCTCGGAGGCTCCGTCGGAGCAACTTTTTTGCTGACGAGCAACTTCGAGCAACTTTTCCAAAATTTTGCTTCTTTTTAGCAACTTTGAACAAATAGTCCGGAACCATAACTTAGAACATATTTATACTCCAATGTGAATCACTTGAATAAACAAAATTCCTCCAGAATCGCCGTGTGCAAAAATTATGCCATGTATAGTGTGGTCAGCACTTGTTTCCAACTACCAAACTGACATGACGTCATTTTTGGAAGATGGAAGGGGTGTTAAATGGCTATGTAACTAGCCCAAACCCCACCCCTACTCCAACCTCTAACCCTAACCGCAACTCTAACTCTAACCCTAACCAAATTAATGAAAAAATCCAAAAAGAAACTACTTTAGAAATTGATCAAATGACGTAATGTCAGTTTGGTAGATGGAAACAAGTGAAAAGTATAGTGTTGTGTTGTTTGAACTTGTTTGAGTTGTTTCAAATATTAACCATGATACTAACCATGATCTGATCATCTGACCCTGACAGAGTGCGGGCGCTTCTAGCCGATGATATACCAGAAACACTAGTAGATCAGTGGTCGCAAAGCTGTCAATCAAATATGGCGGACGTATTGTTATGGCGTTCCGTTCCGGTCAAAATTATTTCAAGTCAATAAGTAATATTCAAACATCATATCAACATGTTATAACTCTCAATATAATGTTGAAAATATCAAGATAAAGTTCAAACTCAAAAAAATAAAACGAAAGTTTAAAGCATATACTTGAAAAATGCAAAATACATTTCAAACCTCAAACGATATATATGAAAACTAAACGCAAGTCCTAACTTCTATTTATAAAAGCGAAACTCCCAAATGATAAGTCAAAGCCACGGCTCATAAAAATAAATCGAAAAGTCAAAAATATAAATCGAAAGGAAACGGAAGTAAGAACTAAAATACAGAGGAAGTCAGGAAACGGAAGTTAACACAACCATTGCTGATTCAGCCGAAATTCCAATATCTTTCTCGCCGTCTGGATGTTTACGAGAGAAATATAAATATTCTTCTCAATCTCACAAGGCTTAATGTCCTCTAGAACAACAACTTTTGTCAGATATGCGCATCCTTCAGGTGAATATTCGTCGTCAAAGGGAAAGATGCGAAGCACTTTCCTTTCGCCCTTTGTTGCAGGAGTACCGCCCCGGACTACGGTAGTGTTCAGACAAGTGTAGGACAGTGGGAGTATTAACTATTAACTATCTCTGGTGTGGGAAGACCAAGACTGGACGTCTGACAACAGGCAATCGAAATTCTCAAGTTGGACTTTCCTGGGCAGAAATTGCAAGAAATTTTGAATATATTTGATATTTACAATCTTTCACAGACAATTTCTGAACCTACAAGAATAACTAATACCTCACAAACATTAATCGATCTATGTATTACAATAATCTTGATAAAGTAAAAGCTTCCGGTGTTCTTTCTCTTGGTATAAGTGATCATTCTCTGGTATACCTTATTCGGAAATGTACATATCATAAGGCACCGGTAAATACTTTTGTTGAAAAGAGAAATTTCAGAAACTTCAATGAACATGCATATTTGAATGATTTAAATAATCTAAATTGGGAGCAGGTTTGTCTGCATAACGACCCTAATGATATGTGGACTGAATGGTTGAATTTGTTTATGTCTGTGATTGATAAACATGCCCCACTTAAAAAGAAACGTATAGGGAAACGAAAGTCTCCCTGGATTACTTCACATGTAGTTCAGAAAATTCGCGAAAGAGATTATCTAAAAAGGCAATTCGATATTACACGTGACGATGAAATTTGGTTACAATATAAGAAAGCTCGAAATGAAACTAACAACACTATTAGGCAGGCTAAACATAACTACTTTATCACTAATATTGAGGCTGCACGAAAAGATCCAAGGAAAACTTGGAGGCTAGTCAACGATCTGAACTCTCGTAAAGTGAGTGATGTAACCAGTGTCAAGAAAGTCAATCTTGACGGTAATGAAATCACTAATGCGGCTGAAATTTCGGATGCCTTTAATTCATATTTCACCTCGATAGGAGAGAAACTTGCGAACAAAATACCTAGCTCGAATGTTAATCCCGTTTCTTATATTCAATCCACACATAGTGTGTTTTCTTTCGAGGAAATTGGTTTGTCCACTGTAAATTGTTTGCTAAAAACGATTAATGCTAACAAAGCGACCGGCTCTGATAAAATTCCAGGTAGATTATTGAAAATAGCCGCTGATATTCTTTCACCCTCGTTAACCAGAATTTTTAATAGATCGCTTTCTATGGGGATTTATCCGACTGATTGGAAAATGGCAATTTTCTAATGGCAATTTTTGATTGGAAAATGGCGACTGAATGAAAAAGTCTTACCTATATTCAAAAATGGCGAAAAATGTGATCTAAGTAATTATCGTCCAATTTCAATTATATCGGCGGTTGCCAAAGTTTTTGGTAGAACCGTTTATGACCAATTTTACTCCTATCTGACAATTAACAACTTACTGTCGAACTATCAGTCAGGGTTTCGAGCATCATATAGTACCGTTACAGCTTTATTAGAGTCGACTAATAACTGGTGCGTAAATATTGATAAGGGTTTGCTTAACGGAGTGATCTTCATTGACCTAAAGAAAGCTTTCGATACAATTGATCACGAAATTCTTATACGTAAACTCAAGTGTTATGGTGTGGATGACAATGCGCTATCGTGGTTTAATTCCTATTTAAACAATCGAAAACAGAAATGCTACGTAAATGGCTCTCCCATGGAGTTCCGCTATTATAGGCCCACTTCTGTTTTTGATCTATATCAATGACTTGCCTAACTGCTTGAACGAGGGTTTACCTAGAATGTATGCTGATGACACGAACATCAACATGCAAAGTAATAATCTTTCTGAGCTAGAAAATCTTATGAATGCTGAAATAGCCAATTTAAACACATGGCTAGAGGCAAATAAGTTAAGTTTAAATATTGCCAAGACTGAATTTATGATTATTGGATCTCGTCAAAGACTTTTAACCTTTGATAATCAGAATGTGGAAGTATGTGTTAACAATAAACAGATTAATAGAGTGCTGAAGTCTAAGTCATTAGGTTTAACAATTGATGAGAACTTGACTTGGAAATATCATGTTGATAATATCACCAAAAAAGTCTCTTCGGGTATCAGTGCTCTCAAACGAATGAGAGATTTTATTACCACAGAAACTGCAATTCGAGTTTACCAAAGTTTGGTGGAGCCCTATTTTTCCTATTGTGCCCCTGTTTGGGATGGCCTAGGTAAAAAGCAAAGCGAAAAATTACAAAAATTACAGAATAGGGCCGCCCGTGTTATTACCATAGATATCTTATATACACTAGATAGCGCATCTCTTTTAGTAAAATTGAAGCCAACAATATTCCAGCGGTTACCCCCATTTGAATAGATGGCGGCCATGTTGGTCGTTCCCACTTGCTAGTAAACGCTTAAAAACAACAATAATTTTCATAATTTCAATATTTTAAAAACGTATTTGGAATAGGGTTAACTTAATGTTTAAGTTCCCTGTTTAAGAAATAGAAAACATACGAATCTTCTAATTTCATGGGAACAACCTGAGACTGCAATCACGGCTTCAATTTTTGAATTTCTGAATAATTAGATGCACTATCTTGTGTATATAAGATATCTATGGTTATTACCCGTTCATCCTATGATATTTCATCAAGTTCTCTTCTTGAAGAACTTAATTGGGAATCATTGTCCACTAAGCGATTAAAGCAAAAGGCAATCCTCATGTTTAATACTATTAATAAACATACACCATTCTATTTACAAGAGATGTTTTCTCCCAGTGAGAGTGTTTATAACCTGAGAGATTCTTAAGGTAAACTTTATGTCCCAAAACCACGCACAGATTATTTGAAACGCTCCTTCAGTTACAGTGGAGCCTCTTTATGGAATGGCCTGCCAGAATCTCTTAGATCAGTAACCTCTCTCGCTGCATTTAAGACAGGTTTAGAAGCCTTCTTAATAAATAATCGATCTGACTCCCACACGGCAATCAGGTAGAACAGTATCTATATTTCTTTTTGCTCCTTTTAAAATTTTTTAATATTTTTGTAAATAACTATACTGATGATTTTCCGTGTTTAAATAAAGTTGATGTATGTATGTATGTATGTATGTATGTATGTAGTATCTGAGAGTACAATACGACGACGTGTCGACGTCGACGTTCATTTGTTTCAGCTAATACGAACAGGGAATCACATTCTACCATAAGGGACAATGATCTTGATCTACTTGTTCGTGGTATCTTACAAGTAACACCCATGCAGAATTGGCTATGGATTAGTACAAGAATATTTATATTTCTCTTGTAAACATCCAGACGGCGAGAAAAATATTCGGCTGCATCAGCAATGTTTGTGGTTAACTTCCGTTTCCTGACTTTCTCTGTATTTTAGTTCTTTACTTCCGTTTCCTTTCGATTTATATTTTTGACTTTTCGATTTATTTTTATGAGCCGCGGCTTTGACTTGTCATTTGGGAGTTTCGCTTTATAAATAGAACTTAGGACTTGCATTTAGTTTTCATATATATCCTTTGAGGTTTGAAATGTATTTTGCATTTTTCAAGTATATGCTTTAAACTTTCGTTTTATTTTTTTTTTTTTTTGAGTTTGAACTTTATCTTGATATTTTCAACATTATATTGAGAGTTATAACATGTTTATATGATGTTTGAATATTTCTTATTGACTTGAAATAATTTTGACCGGAACGGAACGCCATATATTGTCGTCAAATTCAAGCGAAGAAGATGACGCTGTCACAAACCCAATTCAACTGGCAATAAATAAAGGAGCCAATATTACAGAGCCTGATCGAGCTGCTATTTCGAGGAAGCGGAAAATCGTAAAAAACAGTGGGAAATACAAGGCAAGTCGTGTGAAAAATCACTCGAAAAATGATACCTGTGTTTGGGACAAACTAAAAGATTTCCCTGGTCAACATTTCGTCAACGAAAATGGGCAGTTACGATGTAATGCCTGCAGTGAGATAATTAGTATTAAAAAAAGTTCCATCGAGAAGCACGTCCAATCGAAAAAACATGTAAACGGAATTGCAAGCATCGCCAAAAGCAAAAAGGAGAACCAGACTATTTTGGAGTGTTTAAAAAAGCAAGATATACGCGATCGTGCGAGCGGCTCAACTTTACCTGAGGATATGAGGCTGTTTCGTTTTGAACTAGTAGAGACGTTTCTGCTAGCTGGTATAGAAATTTCAAAGCTTGACATCATACGTCCTTTTCTTGAAAAGTATGCTCGGCACAGGTAATAAATGGGACATTAGCACTAGAATATAATGTTGTAATTTGATAAAAGATCTCTAAGTCCTTATGTTAAATGAAATTTACGATGTGGTAGTTGCTGCATCTTGGGTAGGTGTGGAAAACACAACACCACGTATCATGATTAATGTGTAATTGAATAGTGGTTAAATATTCATTGATTATATAGGTTAACCGGCGCTAGCCACATGAAAGATATCATTAGAGTTCTGGATATATTTTTACGCCATTGGATAAGTTTGTTTGCCAATAGCTATAATGCCAAACTTCTTTGGAAAGAGAGAACTGGCCAATCAATGCGCTCTTACAGTAATACACGATGGTGGAGTAAGTGGGAGGTCCAAAAACAAGTCTATGAATATTTTGGTGATGTCGTGCCCTTCCTGCGAGAAAATGAGAATCTCTCCCCTGCAACACGCCAACATCTTTTGGAGATAATTGACAACCCTCGCGATCTTCAGGATCTCCGTTTGGAGCTTGCTGTAATTGTTGACGCTGGTGTCCAATTTGTCAAGGCAACCTACTATTTGGAAGGTGACGGGCCGCCTAATTTTCTCCTGTTACGAGCGTTTATCAGCTGTTAGTAATGCCATTGGAGTAGCCAATTTTCCAAGCAACTCTGCTATTGCTCGAGAAAGTGCCAACGGTGACGTTGTGGTTCAAAACCAGCTCATTACTCAGGCAAAAGCATGTGTGCAACCCGGACTGCTCTTTTTTCAGGAAAAGTTCAGCGTGCAGTTCCACACAATTGTTCGCGCTTTTAAGGTGTGCCTGTTATTAACTCGCATTCATTGTGGAATTACATGTTTACGTGAAACTAGTATTTGATTTATCCTTGTTATATTCATTTCGAAATCAGAAAAAGTCTAAATTTATTTTAATAATAATTATATTATTACCGTTATTAGTATATTGTAAAGGTCGCACGTCTTTGTTGCCCAGTTCAAGTCCAACAACTAAAGCCAGATGCTGCTGCACTCGAAGAATTTAGCAACTTTCCATTCGTGAATGACAACACAATAGCCAACTTAGCTAATGAGTTGCCAGATTATCTTGCGGCTGTTGATGGCGTCACTTTAGGCAATGAAGATGAAAAAGTTACCTGGTGGGCAGTACAACGCGATACTTTACCACACTGGTCAGCTCTGGTGAAGAAGAAGTTGCTTCTAATCCAGCCTAGCTCTGCTGCTGCTGAACGTGTGTTTAGTTTGCTTAACAGTATGTCATCGCAACAGGGAAACTCACTCGAAGATTACATTGAGGCATCTGTTATGGTCCGCTATAACAGCACTCAAAGAAAGCACTAGGTTGCTCTCTAATAGGCTCTCTAATCGTATTGAAATTCCATAAATTTTTTCATTACAGTTCCTGTTCACACTTGTTAATTGTTGTTTGGATGTATTGATGGCGTAAACCTTGTAATTATATAAAAGGAACTACAGTACATATGTTCCTTGATGTTAGAGTTTGAAATACTGTTACTTATGATGTCAAATGTGTATTGTAAATATAAGAACATTAGAGCAACTTTTGAGCAACTTTTTTCACTTTGAGCAACTTTTTGAGCAACTTTTCGAAATTTTGGAGCAACTTTGTGACATATTTTGAGCAACTTTTTCGAAATTTGGCAGCACAATCTGGCTGTGCCTAATCCTAAGATGCTGCATGATATCCTATTGTATGATATCCTAAGATATTGATATACTAAGATATTGATATCCTAAGATATTGATATCCTAAGGTATTGATATCCTAAGATACTGCATGATATCCTAAGATACTGCATGATATCCTATTGTATGATATCCTAAGATATTGATATACTCATATATTGATATCCTAAGATATTGATATCCTAATGTCTTGATATCCTAAGATACTGCATGATATCCTAAGATACTGCATGATATCCTATTGTATATTATCCTATAGTATGATATCCTAAGATACTGTATGATATCACACCACGAACGCCTTACTGCAACTGATAATAATTTGGTGTATTCGTTCTATATATCCTTATCTTCTTCATCTTATCTTTATCTTCTTATCTTCCTTATCCTTCTCTTCCTTATCTTTATCTTCCTTATCTTTATCTTTCTTATCTTTATCTTCTTCTCTTCCTTATTCCTATCTTCCTTATCTTTATCTTCCTTATCTTTATCTTCTTATCTTCCTGATCGTTATAAGATGAGGAAGATAAGGAAGATAAGGATAAGGAATATAAGGAATATAAGAAGATAAAGATAAGGAAGATAACGATACGAAAGATAAGAAGATAAGAAGATAAAGATAAGGATAAGATAAGATAAGGAAGATAATGATAAGGAAGATAATGATAAGGAAGATAAGAAGATAAAAATAAGGATAAAGAAGAAGATGAGAAAGATAACGATCAGGAAGATAAGAAGATAAAGATAAGGAAGTAGGAATAAGGAAGAGAAAAGATAAAGATAAGAAAGATAAAAATAAGGATAAGGAAGATAAAAAGATAAAGATAAGGATAAGGATAGATAAGAAGATAAAGATAAGATAAGGAAGATAAGGATAAGGAATATAAGAAGATAAAGATAAGAAAAAAAGATAAGGAAGATAACGATAAGGAAGATAAGAAGATAAAGATAAGGAAGATAAGAAGATACAGATAAGGAAGATAAGAAGATAAAGATGAGGATAAGGAAGAAGATTTGGAAGAATACTGGATAGATGCATAAATTAATATATAGAACAAATACACCAAATTATTATCAGTTACAGTTAGGCGTTCGTGATATCATACAGTATCTTAGGATATCATACAATAGGATATCATGCAGTATCTTAGGATGTCAATATCTTAGGATATCAATATCTTAATTAGGATATTAATATCTTAGGATATCATACAATATCTTAGGATATCATACAATATCTTAGGATATCGAAGATAAAGATAAGAAGATAAAGATAAGGATAAGGAAGAAGATTTGAAAGAATACTTGATAGATGCATAAATTAATATATAGAACGAATACACCAAATTATTATCAGTTACAGTTAGACGTTCGTCGTGTGATATCATACAGTATCGTAGGATATCATACTATAGGATATTATACAATAGGATATCATGCAGTATCTTAGGATATCAATATCTTAGGATATCATACAGTATCTTAGGATATCATACAATAGAATATCATACAGTATCTTAGGATATCAATATCTTAAATAGTATATCAATATCGTAGGATATCAATATCTTAGGATATCATACAATATCTTAGGATATCATACAATATCTTATGATATCATACAGTATCTTAGGATATCATACAATAGGATATCATGCAGTATCTTAGGATATCAATATCTTAGGAGTGACGATATATATTAGAAGCATAACTTTGTAAAACGTTTTGAAGAAATAAATGTGTTTTAAATCTAAATTCTTGTGCATTTTTATGCCCGCAAAGCCATGCGCCCCCGTGATAAATCTATAAATATTGACTGTTTGCCTGAACATGCCCACGGCCGCCAGTAATAATATCCATTTATATCCATTAAAATCCTAATGCCAATTCGTATTGCCTTAATCCCCTTAATTACCTCAACCTTTGTCTACTTATCGCTTAATGATTAATGACATAGCAACACATAACACAGTATCTTGTGAGAATACATTTATTATTTTAAGCCAAAAAATATTACAAATGTTTGTTATAATTTGTTCTACAAGTTTTTTTTCTACAAGAATTCTTGATAAGCAATGTTATGATCAGCCTCAAAACTTCCAGATCGTTCACCCGTCGCCTTCACGGAATACATGTAGCTAGGTGGACAAGAGAAAAACGCTTGGTCGCGCTACCTGTCACATTTGGCCCACACTTGCCCAAGCAAAGTGACCTCATAGATTTTGCAAGCTCATTATAAAATCCGCCAGAGTGTTAGCGAGCAAAGTGACGTTAAAGATTTTTCAACCTCATAAAATCCGCCAGAGTGTTAGCTAAACAAAGTGACGTCATAGGTTTTGCAAGCTCATTATAAATTCCGCCAGAGTGTTAGCTGAACAAAGTGACGTCATAAATTTTGCAAGCTCATTATAAATTCCGCCAGATGGGGTTTTACTACTCACGTGACCACAAGTCAGCCAATCGCACTTGGTGTTCATAGCTATAACAATTTTGATTAATCACTGCGCTATTAGATACATGAAATTATTTCATTCAAGTCAATAATAATAATATAATAATAATAGTCATAAGGTAGCTTTATACTACATTTGTATTTCTCGGCTTATATATTTTATACTAATTTCAGGCATTTGCGCCGAGTGTTTCTTTTTCAGCGTCGAGTCACGTCGTCGTGATTTTTCACAGCAGTCGACACATTTTGTTTGAATGTTGATTTCGATCACTTTTTTATTATTTCGTCCATGCAGTCATTATTCGTTATTTACATGAAATAATATATACATGCAAAATTATATTATCAGTGGCAGTGCTATATATTATACGCCTATAGTATTTCCATGCAGCTATAATTCACAAAATACGAAGATGAATATATAAAGCTTTCATCAATTACGACTTCTACGACTACTGTGAAAATGTCGCATACGATATAACTTTTGACCTATTTTATATATAGCCTCGTTTTTTGTTTATGGTCAATGTTACTGTATATATCATATGCCGCTTTTTTTATTTGACTATAAGGCATAGCGAAATAGAATAAATTTTGTTTTTGATGCGTTGATAGACAATTTATTTCCGTTAAGCCATTCGGCTATCTTGTGAGTTTAATTTGGAGAGTTTCACTTAGTGACTAAAAAATATGCTTGTATCATGCATCGGCGAACAATGTCAACAATGTCGAAACCATGTCACTGCAGTTTTTGATATCATTTATATATATATATATAAATTATAAAATGAAATGTATATAGTGGCCCGAGAATTTACCCTTTCGTTTTGGTTCGACATTTATCATTTATAGACTTGGAGCGAGGGGGATTTGGCGAAATATCCGAAGTGATGATATTTCGCCAAATCCCCCTCGCTCCAAGTCTATAAATGATAAATGTCGAACCAAAACGAAAGGGTAAATTCACTTCGATCGGGTAATATTTCGCCCAATCCTCCAAGCGGAGGGTCTATGAATGATATATTATACCGAAAATTAAAAGCCTCTAAGTTGAGAAATATAAAACTAGCCCACATACCTTCGTGAATAACATATCGTTTGGAATATTAATAATAACGCTTTTCAAAATTTGCTTCATAATTTAAAAGAATAGCTTTCCGGCTTTGAAGTTTGAAAGTTTAATAATTCGTCAGATCGCCGCGCGTCGTTTACGCGAATCATATCACCCAGGTGATATCAAATCACCCCCTGTGCTATGATTGAAATCACCCGCTTTGTGACAACCACACATGGAGTTTAAATATTTCATACACTCTAGCTGCTGTTGGTAGACGTGGTAGAATTTTGGGCCTCTTTCTCAACACAAGACAACAGTACACAAAGTTAAAGATTTTGCGTGGATATATAGGAACTTCGCGAAAACTTTTTAAATATTTGTAAGATCTATAACCAGAAGCAGTTGTGAAAAATGAAACTAGTATATAGACACAGCCGGCATATAGATAATCCAGTGGGAATTGAATTAACTTGCATGGTTTATGAACGTTTCAAGACCGTTCAAAGGACTGTCATAATGAAAGACTGTATTGTTCAGTAGATATGACAACATTGCGTGATGACAACATTGGCCATTGCGTGATGACATCCTGTTGAAAGCACAACGCATCCCACCTTTCGGAAGTTTATGGTTATTTTAACCAAAGAAAGGAAGTGGGCTTTTTTGGTAATAAAACAGGTGAAAAATATAATATTCCGAAACTGAAAAATTTAATGAACTATATGGCCCATATTTTGTGGTTGCCTGTCAATATATCGAAACTGACTATTTTCATTTGGAAACCCAAGTCTCGGGGATTCGATACAGCATACAAGCTTATAGACGACGCGTCATCTCGTACAAGCTATCGTTTACAATATGCATGTATGCATGTATGTCAGGATCGTCACGTCATGTTACGAATTTTAACTTGGGACCAAAACAGTTCAACACCATTACAACTCTTCCAAATCACAAACCCCTGGCTTCTTAAACTGTATTATTCAGTCATGTGAATATTTTCTTTTATTTTACAGAGTTTATTTGCATGCTGTAATTGCATGTCTTAATTATTGTCGTCTTTCTTGCCTCAAAAACTTCAAAAGCTTCTTTGTCTTTGACTTTGTATTAAAACTGCTTAATTAATGCGATAATGTAGTGGAGGGGTGAAATGAAATGCCATGAAAACAAACAGATTGTGTGTCTATTCTTTTTGTCTTCTTTGAAATTGCTTGAAACTTTTTTTATGCTTGCAATCAGTGGCAAATGACAGTGCCGAGTGCCGACAATTTCTACAGAATGTCGGTTTGAAAGTGGGGATCTAATTTGGGTACAAAGACTTTCTCAGTTGGTTGCGTACGCCTCGGTATACTCGGCAATCTTGTTCGGTAAACAGAGAATTAGAGAGGATTAAGACAGCATCGCGCAATCGTGGAGAACATCTTATTTTATATTCATAAAATAAATACAATTTATAGCTGCTATCCAGCCATATTTTCACTATCCATAAAAGAGAATATTCATTCTTTCGACCACATGTTCTACTCAGGAAATGACTAATTACATGCATATTTTTCCATAAAATGTGATCCTAGAATATATAACCAAATTTACATTGAGCTTAACTTAAGATGAAACACACTCCGCGAATATTAATATTTTGTAAACTCAAAATTCGAGCTATTTATTAAAACAAGATAAAAAAATTCAAGGTAATATTTTGAATTTTGTTATCTTGTTTAAATAGTTCGGAATCTTGAGTTTATAAGATGTTAATATTCGGAGTGTGTTTCATCTTATATTTTGCGAAATTGTCTGCTGGTAAAGGATTTTGGACAAATTACCATCAATTGTTTGTTTTGGATAACTTTCATTTAAGAATTAAGGTCAACTAAAGACGTCTTTCATGAAATTGCATCTCAAAACCTCATGAATTAAAGTATTGACACTGTCCTAGCCTCGCATTATATTTGACACAAAAGGGATCAATAAAATGAAAGTCTTAAAATTCCATCCAGTGCTTGTAAATTAAGTCATGATTAATCGAGAATATTGTTAAATGACGCCCACTGCGTGAGTAATTGCGCAAATTGTGAAGTGACGTATCACGGCAGACCAGATAATATATGTATAGGCTATATATATGTTTATTATCTGATATTTCTTTGCATACGCACAGCTTTCTCGTAGTGGAATATTGTTTACTATTCTTCATTTTAATATATTAAATAGTTGAACGTGTAGAAGCTGTCGGACAAAAATACAGATCAATTAAGATTTAATCATGGCGAAAGAAAGATCAAAATGTTGTGTATGTGTTCTCTTCGTTCTGCTTGTTCTCGGTGTTGGTTTGTTAATCTCTGGTATTATTGTCGCCGTGTTAGGATCATTCACATCGCTTGCGGACGATCAAATAAAGAAGGTTAGTATAAGACTGACTTACAGTGAGAAAAAGAACAATTACGTGCACGAATCATATTTTATCCTATACAATTTACTGCTTATAGCAATGTATTGTAACATAAAACAAAGTCAAAGACTATAAGTCGTAGCGTATATGATTCTATAACTTAGAAGCACTCCTTTTGAGTCTTGAAATGATCATTTTCATTTCATCTCCGTTCTCGATGGGCACTATGGTGTGAACTTAATCATAAGCCATAAGAATAAAAAAGGTTGGAACAAATTTGGGTCGTACCGCTAATTACCGACAAAATTTACCAATGTCAATGACTTATGAGTTATATCTCTACTAACTTGCATAAATATTTCATAATGACTCGTCATGACTTAGTCCGAATTTGAATCTAATCCGCTTAAATTGTATTCAGTTTAAGTTAGAAACAAGAACGTGAAGTCAGAAGTAGCTACTATGTCTATGTCTATATCGAACCATATATCAGTATAATAAAATCATGACTCACGATCGAGTCCTGATCCATGCTCTGCCTTTCAATATCATACATGAACAACATTTTATACGCCTTTTCGGCGTTCGCGACTCACCTTACTAGTGGAGCAAACACAATAGGATAACAGTATACCATGGCCTTAGGGACAAGTATTCACTTTGGGACGAGGCAAATGGTTTTATCTTAGTGTTTGCAAAAAGCGTAATGACTGGCCTCACGCAGGTAACATAACAGCGTAGTGCATGCATGCTTAAACAAAAGTATAAATCAAGGTTTTAAACCATAAATCATAATAACGAGCTTAAGCAAGCGACATTTTTGTCAACACGGCCTGACGTCAGATGTCGAGGGGGACTGGATTAAAAACTGTGTTTGTATCAGTTTGTGGCAGTCTTCGACCCATAGCATGACAAAACACTTAAAACATTTTTCATTATTTTAAAGTTTTTTGCCTTCTTACACGAGCGCTATGTTTGCAAAATGCCGCCAAAATTAGTTATGACCAATTTTCGGGTGACGTCCGTGTTGAAAAATGTCACTTGCTTCAGTAAGCTCACTATTCCCCATTCAAAAGACAGAATTGCGTTCGGTTTGATACATGTATGTTTACAAGCTGCAGCCGCATGTCATTGCATGCTGGACATTGTTAATTGTGCAAATATCAAATAATGATTTTAATCGTGAGATTTAGGGTCGAATTTAAGAACTCTATATAATAACACGCGGTATAAGTCTATCGGTATAATATACTGTGAACCTCCGTACAGGCTTATTTAATAGCTAACGTTATTTCATATTCAGTTCAAGATATCCTCATCACTTGACAATGTCCAACAAAGCTGTATTTATAAACCCTCGTGCATTATGCATGTGTCTCATGCATGAGCAGTGCATGCAGGTGCATCAAATCGAAATAACACCAGCATGTAAAATTACTCAGTTTACTATACTGTACAGTATACAGTACAGAGTGTATAAAAAAACGCAAGCTCGGAATTTCCCAAGAAATCGACATTGTTTTAAGGACAAAAGATTTTAGGTGCTTGGGAATTTAAAATAGCACAACTGCCAAAATTACTGCACACGCGAGTGCATAAAGCAAAATTTATGCATTTATTTAATACACTTAATAAGTTTTTATTTTACAAGTATATACATGCAGTACAACAACAGTAATATGATCTATTAGCAATTCGATTTCAATTCCCAGGCCCAGGGACCTAAAATCTTTTATGCTTAAGAAATGCAAAGTGGATTTCTTGGGAAATTCCGAGGTTGCGTTTTTTTTATACACCCTGGCCCTGCATACAGTATATATATCATGCATGACTGCAAAAACATGTCTATGTAAAATAGTGTGATGGCGATCAACCGACTTGTTCGTTGTGAGTTCATGACACTAAACTCATGTGATTGGAAGGAAAGAGACTGCCAACAATGCCTGTATCGAGTTTATATGCACAATGTGTACAAAATATTACGACTTTATCATTGCCTTCTTTGAAACATGGGTTCCTTGATTCCTTATAACTGAACATGAGTCCTTCTGTTTGATTCAATATCACTGCACTCAGAACATTTGGTTATTATAGCATTGGTCTGTGTATAGTAGCGAATGTTTTGTGATGATAGCAACATGACAATGCAATGTTGCGGGTTTGTCCCGCCAGGCGTGGGTCATTATAAAAAAGATCCTTACAACACGCAATATAGTTACGTAAACGTTCAGTATATAGGCCACATGGATGATTTTGTGGGAAACTCGTGTTAATAAGCCAAAACTTGTTTTGCTTATATTGAATCTAGATGTTCTTCTGTCGTCGACCAATAAAGATCCTCTGTTTTTCACTTCGTTGTTAGAGTTTTAGGCCGTTCCATGCACACTTGTGGGCGTATAAATGATGCTTTTCAACCCTTTTTCTTCCGTGAAACTAGTATCATGAATTAGTTTGTCTTATTTTTATTTTGGAATCTTTTATACTCTTTTATTTCAAACCCCAGCTCCAGGCCCAAACGATTTTACTAGACGTGTCAATTTGTGATTCGTAAAAGGCCTTTGGCTTTGGATGACGGCGGAAAAGTGCTTATTCTTTGTTCCGGCTATAAGATTTATTGCCGATGCATTGATATATTCAATATTTGAAGCATGTTTATAATCGATTTGAAGCATTTTTAAACATGGACATAGCCATCATAGGCATAACACTTTATAAGGAAATGCGTAATAATGCAATTTCTGAAGCAGAGCGAGAAGGGTGCGGTGATCGTAAAGTGTAATAATACAATGCCAGTGGGCGAAAACGCATACAACTTTAATTTTGACTACGTCAAAGAGATAAAGTCTTTGTGTTTAGTCATATACTGGTTTGCTTCGTTTTGTAAACGAGCCTGGCCGTTCGTCGTGCGATATCCAACCAATAGCGCCGAGCGATGTCCAACCAATATGCGCCAATCGATATCACGGCTAAATAGACTATCCAGGTTCATTTTTGAAATTCATGATCAGTCTAGCCGTTCCATTCTGTAGTTTTTGAAGACGTTCAATAAGGCCTTTTCTAAGTGCATGCAAAACTTCGCAACAATAATCAAAATGAGGCTGAATTAAGGTACAAATTACAAATAAAGTTTATCGTTACAAGTTGTTTCGTGTAACATCGCCTTAAGTCGCAATGAAAATATCAAAACACAAAGATATGTAGGTCGTCGAAATATACCTGTTGCTCAAGAGCGCGCTCAAACTCTCTCAATTCCAAATCCTCGTCGAGTCACAGGCGCGGCTGCCCCTCCACACTGGGGGAAGGGGGGCTGACACCGATCGTGACTAAAACACCACACGAGTACATACGAGTAACATACGAGTAACACACAAGTACATACGAGTACATACGAGTAACATACGAGTACATACGAGTAACATACGATGATACGATCGAGTAACATACGAGTACATACGAGTAACACACGAATAACATACAAGTACACACGAGTAACATACGAGTACACACGAGTAACATACGAGTAAATACGAGTACATACGAGTAAAATACAAGAATTAGCACGCTTTCTTCAAAGTTTCTTTCACTTACACACTTTCACTTTGGCTTCGTGTTATGTTCATGTTGGAAATGCCTTATTGACATAGGTGTACGAGACAG